AAAATACGGGCCAAACTGAAAGAAAACTGATGATAAGGATACACAAACACCAACTAGCCACCAAGAGACACGACCAATTCTCACTGGTCTCGCTACACACGGATAAAGAAGGACACGAGTTCAACTGGGTCAACACATCCATAATAGCACAAGCCAAACAGAGACATGCCAGGGAATTCCTGGAGGTCTGGCATTGCAACTGGAACTCCATCAACAAATACATTGAACTGGACCTGATATACAAACCACTGAAAAACAGAACCAGAAGTGATGCCAATCAACTCAGCAAACTGAGGCATATAAATAACACGTGGGACTGAATACCAACGCTTCACCAGAGGGGCACTGACAATGTTACCTAGCAGGGTGACGAAACGTCTGCAATCAAACACACCGGCTCAACGAGCAAGTCTACAACCTTAACCAGAATACTTTAATAAAACTGACAGTTTCAAAGGAACTGTAATGTTGCACTTGAAGGAGAATACCATCTCATCGATTGGCCCAAAAATTAAGTGTAGTGTCAACCTAAAAGGTGAACCAAGGATTGAGCGACCCACGATGGAATCAACAAAAGAAGTACAGGAGACTGTAAATTGACTGGTGTCTCTCAATAACTATTATAATTAAGGAACCCCAAATGGAAAGGAACATCATTGCAGAACACAAAAATAGATCCACTACTTGTGCCATACATAGACTCATCCCAGCTCAGAGGGTTCTACAGACCCATTCCTAGGGGTTCAGGCAATGAGTTCAAGCTAGGCAGGTGACTGCCTGTTACCAAAGGGAATTCATACTCAAGAAGATCCACAGGGAGATTAAATAATGATTCCCAATGGGCCTTGTAGGGGTTATCACAATAACATACATCAAAAAGACAGTTGAATCTCTGAGAGTATGTCTTGATCCATGTTAACTGAGTAGAGCTTTGAAATGGTACCCTTAAGAGCAGCCACTTTATAAGAGCTAAATCCGCAATTTGCAGGTGCAAAATTCTTCTCCAAGCTCACATTGGAGGAGCCCTGAGAGCTCACATCATTCTGTACCACCTTCAGATGATACTGTTTTCGGGGATTCCACTTTAGGCTATGTGTTAATCAGGATTTATTTCAAGCATTACATCCACTTTACCATCTGTATGGCTGACGACATTCTTTGGTAGGACGAACAAAACCGGAACATGACCAAAACCTGCACGTATTGATGCAAGTAATGCAGTGAAGGAGTAGTGGTCAACTGTCAGCAATGTCACATCAATGTATCACTGATCAACTCTTTCAGTTTCATTTATTCTAGTGCCAGAATATGCCCTGATCCAAGTAAACAGATGACATAAAAACCATTTTAACTCCTCAAGACAAGGACAATGTTTAAAGATGTCTAGGTCTCTGTTAGAACCTGTTCTGATTTTTCATTATTTTTATTTTAATCTTTTATCAATTTTGGTTTGGAGCTGTGAACTGAGAACTGTGAGCTGAAGATGAACTTTGGACTGTGGCAGCAGTTTGTGTTTTATAAAAAAGGGAGAGACAAGAAATAAGCTATTGTTTGCTCGTGAGGACAGGCCTGGAAGTTAATTCCAGGTTGGTTCTTGATTAAAACGTTCTACACATTCTTCAACACTGGGGAAGAGCAATATATATAAACAGATGTTTTGCCATAAATGAGGTCAGTACCAAGGAATTGGTGCCAGCAAGTCGGAAAGGAAAGATGATGAGCAAACTGAGGGAGCGACCAGAGTTTTGAACTAGTTTTAAGACTGTGTTTCTGGCAGGAGTTTGGCTGTTGGTGCTACAGAAGGTGTTTGGTACACTTGCCTTTATTGGGCAGTGCATTGAGTGTAGGAGTTGGGATGTCATGTTGCAGCTGTACAGGACATTGGTTAGACCAATTCTGGAATACTGCATTCAGTTCTGGTCTCCATACTATAAGAAGGATGTTGTTAAACTTGAAAGGATTCAAAAAAGATTTACAATGATGCTGACAAGGTTGGAGGATTTGAGCCATAGGGAGAGGCTGAATAGGCTGGGGCTATTTTCCCTGGAGCATCAGAGACTGAAGGGTGGCCTTACAGAAGTTTATAAAATCATGACGGGCCTGATAGGGTGAATAGTCAAGGTGTTTTCCCCAGAGTAGGGGAGTCCAAAACTAGAGGGCATAGGTTTAAGGTGAGAGGGGAAAAATTTAAAAGGGACCTAAGGGGCAACATTTTCACACAGAGGGTGGTGCGTGTCTGGAATAAGCTGTCGGAAGAAATCGTAGATGCTGGTACAATTACAATATTTAAAAAGCATCTGGATGGGTATATGAACAGGAGGGATTTAGAGAGATATGGGCAAAATGCTGCTGATTAAAATAAAAAGAGGAAAAATATTAAATAAATGAATTAAATTCAATGACAACAAAATACTGGTCTGGGGAGATTATAGCGCTGCATTTTAAAAGAATCTAGGGAAGAGTTGGAGGAATTACTATTAAGCGTTTAATGATTCAATAGAATAAATGTAGTGCTGCAGAAACAAACAAAACCAGAAATTCCTCGAGAAACTCAACAGGTCTGGCAGCATCTGTGGACAGAAAACAGAGTTTTGAGTCCTGTGACTGTTTTTTGAATTGAAGAAGTTTTCTTTATTCTGGCAGTCATTGGAGGTGATCAATTCGCTCATTCTGTATTTGATAGCAGCCATTTAAAAAATCTGGTAAGAGTCCATTTTTAGAAAGGATTTTAAACACTATTTTATAGCTGTTTTCTGTGTATTTCAGTAACTGTAACAGTTATACTTGTTCTGAAAATACTGCTCAGGAGAAGTTACTTAATTCCAGTGAGGTTTTATGAAGTAAATTCAAAAACATGTTTTACTTAGTGGACAAATGTCACATGATCAATTTTGTATCTTTAATTAGCTAAAACATAAGAAATAACAGTATGCTGCATTTGGGTTTTATGAGTATGGCCCAATTGTATGAGACAATTGAAGTTGTAGACATGCTTATCGAGGCAGTTGCAAACATTTTGTCACATTGCGAGGTAACAACGTCAGTGCGCCTCCGGTGAAGCGTTGGTGTTCTGTCCCACTTGTTATTTATATGCCTCGGTTTGTTGGGGTGGCTGTTATTACTTACGGTTCTGTTTCTCACTGATTTGTACACTGGGTCGAATTCGATGTGTTTGTTGATGGAGTTCCAGTTGGAATACCAGGTCTCCAGGAATTCCCTGGCGTGTCTCTCTTTGGCTTGTGCCGTTATGAGTATGTTGTCCCAGTCGAACTTGTGTCCTTCGTGTCCCTCGTTGTCCGTGCGTAGTGAGACAAGTGAGAATTGGTCGTGTCTCTTGGTAGCTAGTTGGTGTTCATGTATCCTTATTGTCAGTTTTCTTCTGGTTTGGCCTATGGAGTGTTTCTCACAGTCCTTTGTATATTACACCATTTTGCCAGTTTTGGTTATGGGATCCTTTATGTTTGTCAGTAGCTGTCGTAGGGTGGTTGTCGGTTTGTGGGTTACTCTGATACCTAGGGGTCTGAGTGGTCTTGAGACATGCCAGGGAATTCCTGGAGGCCTGGTATTCTAACTGGAACTCCATCAACAAACACATTGAATTAGACCCTGTGTACAAACTCCTGAGAAACAGAACCGGAAGTAATACCAACCACCCCAGCAAACCAAGGTACATAAGTAACAAGCGGGACAGAACATCAACGCTTCACCGGAGGTGCACTGACGATGTTACCTAGCAGGGTGACGAAATGTCTGCAACCAAACACACCGGCTCGGCGAGCATGTCTACAACCTCTTCCACAACCTGAGCTACAAATCTTCTCAAAAATAGTTATTGGACAATTGTTCAAAATTATCTTGTGTTCTTTTTGTTGAGTCACTGGGATAATATTTATTGCTCATTCTGAATTATCCTTGAACTAAGTGTCTTGCTAGGCCATTTAGAGTCAACCACATTGTTGTGGATCTGGAATCACATGCAGACAATAACAGGTATGGATGGCAGAAATCCTTCTCTAAAGGACATTTGTTAGTCAGATGGGTACTTATGTGACAATGATTACATGATCACCCTAGCTTTTAGCTCTAGATTTTTATTGCTTTCAACTGTCAGCATCTGGTGGGATTTGAACATGTTTTGCCCTCAGACAATTAGATTAGGGTCTCAAATTACTAAGCCAGTGACATTACCACTATTCCACCATCTCCCATACTGGGCCATGAATCCCCTTTCAGCTGTAGTTCAGTTTGTAGTAATCTTCCTGAGTTAGAAGGCTGAGGGCTCAAATCCACAGACCTGAATCCCATGACCAAGGCAGAGACACCAATGCATCATTGTGAGAGTGCTGCAACAATACTGGTGGAGGGTGCTATCTTTTCGTGAATGTCAATCTGAGGCCCCAGCCACCCGTACAGGTAAAGGAAAAGATCCCATGGCAGTAGAAAAAGGTTATTGGGGTGTCTGATCATTATTTACCTCTCATACACATCCATCATGTCTACATTAGCAATCAATATGACAGAAACAAATTTGGTCATTTTGACATTGATTTTTCTGTGGGAGCTTGCTGTGCAAGAACTGGTTTTGGGGGGTTTCCTGCATTTCACTAGTGACTACATTTAGAAAATACTTCATCAAGCTGTGAAGGGCTTAAGTACATTTTTTGGACCCTAAAGATCATTTATACAATAATTGCTCATGTTTTTATCATCTTGGGCGAGTTGCTCATTGGGGATCATGGCGCCACCAAGTGGCAGAGAGAGGATCTCTGCACCTCTAGCGTCCCCTAGAGGAGGGGAAGCTATCCACCAGCGACCGCGCCATTTAGTGGAGGGAAGGACAACTGGCAGCGCTGCGCCACCTAGTGCAGGGGAGGACAACCGGCAGCGGGGCCGCGCCACCTAGTGGAAGCGAGGACACCCGGCAGCGGCCGCGCCACCTAGTGGAGGGGAAGACAGCCGGCAGCGGCCGCGCCACCCAGTGGAGGGGAGGACACCGGGCAGTGCTGCGTCGACGCGAGGGGCACGTGGTGAGGACGGAGGCAGCGGTCTGGCGCAGTCTCCGCTCGGTGAAACTTCACCATGTCGGCAGGTTCGCCACAATCGATAGGGTAAGAGGGAGACGGGAGTGGGAGTTGGGGGGGTGATCGGAGGTGCGGGACAGGCCGAGCTCACCTCGACCAGTTATTGTGAGGGTAATGGTGGGCCGGGCGGACAGTGCGGGAGTTGCTATGTTTTGTTTTGAAAGGCGTCGCGTCGATGGCGCCATCCCGGAGTGAACGGGATCGAACCGGAATGAACCGGACCGGAGTAATTCGGATCGAACCCGACAGGAAATGCCGGAGCGGAGCGTAACCCGACTATCTGTGGGCAGTTTGTAAAGTGTGGTGGGAGTTAGAGAGAGACAGAGAGAGAGAACCGGGGTTGGGGCAGGACTGGGCCCCGCCTGGGCCCCGGGGAGTTTATCCCTCCGCGTCCCGGGCTCCGGCTCTCGGTCTCCTTCTCACTTTCCAGAGCGAGCGGCGTGAGAAACATTTTATTTTAAAAATAGATAAAAAACTTCCAGCACCACAAAACGGCTCAGTTCATTCAGTTTGACTTCATTCTCGTTTTGTTTTACGTTTTAGCAGGCTCGGTGTGTGCGATAAAGATTCAAAATAAATCATAACCTGGGCTCAAATTATGTACTTTGTGTGTTAAATTTGAATCCGGATCATTGATAAGTTGATATCCGTTAGCTTGTATGTTGATCTGTTCAAATTACGTTGATACTTTCAGGTCGTTGTCACATTAAATCTTGATTTTTGTGATTATTTGCTGTTTGCCGAATTCAAAAGGCACAGTGCGTCGTTGCATTGTTATTTATGCTAAGAAAAAAAACACTTGTATGATTAATTTATTTTCTGGAAAGTGTTGATCCATAATTGCAAGCTTTTTAAAAATCTAATAATGCTTGTGCAGCGTACAAGACTTCAACACAAAATACGATAATAAATGTGTGAAAAGTACCTTCGGCTAATGTTGAATTATAAAGAATAATCAGTCATCCAGTCTAGCATTGTTTTTCATAACATCACAATCTTTCATAAACTTCTTAAAATACATTGGTTTGTTAACTGTCCTTCTGAAATGGATGTGTATTAATGTGGGATATTTTTCACCTTTTACTTTTCTTCAGTTCCACCTCATTGAACTTTGCACCAAGCTTCAAGTTGACTGTATTTCCAGCTCTCAGATTTTTTGATTGTGCATGGTAAAGATATTGTAATTTTGCGAAGTTGTACAGTGGGAGACATTAAATGTGATGTGATTGAAACAGGTCGTTGGGTAGTATTTTCCTTCTGGTCAATATAATTATTTAAAAGTTAGTACTTTATGTTGTGACAGTGTTAAAATCATGATTGGTCTAGACTTTACTCAAGTTTTACTGTTTTGGATCTCATTTTGGTGGAGTTTTGCATCTCATTTAAAAATAATCTAGAATGGAAAATTAGGAATTCTGATAAAAGGTTCTTTAAACGATTAAACAATTGTTGCCATTATAAGCTGCTTTAATAGTTTGAAGGAATAGAATAAACTTTTCTGTTGAACTGAACTAAAATCTGGCTTAAATCCTTGTTGAAAATTGTATTAAAAATCTGCAGCAGCCAGATTGAATTTGTCAGGTATGGCACCTTGAATGGTTTGCTTCACTGACAAGATTGATACTGCTAGTGGGGTCTAGGCCCGAAATGTCAGCCTTCCTGCTCCTCTGATGCTGCTTGGCCTGCTGTGTTCATCCAGCTCTACACCTTGTTATCTTGATACTGCTTGTGTTTCTTTTGGATTTTCTGTGAGGATTATCCCCGAACTCAAGCAGTATGCTGTGAACTAATGATGCAGTTACGTAGCTTTGCTGTACCATGCTGAACGTATCACCTAGTTTTACTGTTTCAATTTGTCAGTAAGCTGCATTTTAAATCAATGGACACCTAAGCATCTCCAGTTCCTTGTTGCATTGACTACAAAATGTTTGGGCATCATATCTGTACAATGGAAATTTATGTGCAGATATCTGAAGCTTGGACTGTATTCAGCTATAAGCTCCTCCTGTTTCTATTCCCCAGTAGTTGAAATTACTTCAAAGGTTCGTAAATGATGAACACTTGCATGAGGTATTGGAAAGTTTAAACACCCAAAGAGTGGTGGAAAAAAATGATTAAATTAAAACAGGGAAGTTTTTATGAGCTGTTATTGTCCACTGTGAGGGCAGGTGCTGAACTGATTGGAGGCCCGTGTGGATCTGTAGGAAAGAACTGTCTGTAATTTAAGACTAGATTGACACATGTTCATCTGTTACTGAACAATCAGTTTATGCTTTTGGAAAACTTGCCAGTAGGAAAGTACACCCAATGTTAAGTCATGTTCAGTCAATGTTCAGATGTTCAGTCAGCACTTTTGTAAATGATGCTTGGAACTATGCGTAGAAGATTGTATATTTCCTGAAGTTTGTTTTATTCTGGCGTTGGTATTTTCATTTTCTTACCTTGTGAATTTATCATTTTGTGTTGAAGACATTGACTCCTTGTTACTTTGCACCACAACGTGGGGCGGCACAGTGGCTCAGTGGTTAGCACTGCTGCCTCACCGTGCCAGGGACCTGGGTTCGATTCTAACCTCTAGCAACTGTGTGGAGTTTGCACGTCCTCCCCGGGTCTGTGTGAGCTTCCTCTGGGTGTTTCAGTTTCCTCCCACAGTCCAAAGATGTGCAGATCATGTGGACTGGCCATGCTAAATTGCCAGTAATGTCCAGGGATGTGCAGGCTGGGTGGATTAGCCATGGGAAATGCAGGGTTAGGGGAATGAGGTGGGTCTGGATGGGATGTTCTTTGGAGGAATGGTGTGAACTCGATGGGCTGAATGGCTTGCTTCCACACTGTCGGGATTCTGTGATTCTTTGATTTGTGAATACAATGGAAATTGATGAGCTCCGGTTCAATGTTCATATGAACATAGGTAGATTTTGGTAGACTTTTTCATTTGTATCAGAGACTGATTTTGTCCTTGCTGTCCTCTGCGTTTAGTTTTAGTAGTGATCCAAGGAAGGAAGTAATTTTCAGGAACCATGCTGGTTGTCCTTTTCCCAAATCTGAAACATTGCAGTTAGTTGTAGCACTCACTACCTTGGCTGAAATTAGTTATTGTTAATTTCATGTGGCATTGAAAAAAAAACCATGATGTAGGTGGGATGTTAAATATTCCTGGATATAAGATGTTTATAAAGGTAAGAAAGGAAAAGGGGAATAGGCAATCGTATTCGCTAAGGAGAACATTGCAATGCTGGAGAAAGATGATGTCCCGGAGGGGTCAATCTGTTCAGTTACAGGTCAAAAATCACACAACACCAGGTTGTAGTCCAACGGGTTTATTTGAAGACACTAGCTTTCAGACTGTTGCTCCTTCATCAGGGTATGTGTTGAATAAACCTAAAATGGCTGGCTTACTCCGTCCTATTAAATTGTGGGTTCATGATCTGTAGCCATTTTGGGATCGTCTCCACTTTCTTGCGTTTCTGTGGATACTTGATGCCTGTGTCGATATCTGTGATCTTCTTGGAGACCTACTCTGCTTTGAGCCAGCAGTTTGTGGTGTCGATGGTAGCCATGATGTGGAGGTGCCGATGTTGGACTGGGTAGGACAAGATCAAATGTTCACATCAGTTGTATGATGTTTTGATCTTTTACTTATAAATTGTGTCTTGATGCCTCTCTCACTACACCTGACGAAGGAGCAGTGCTAGTGATTTCAAATAAACCTTTTGGACTATAACTTGGTGTCATGTGATTTTTGACTTTGTCCAACCCAGTCCAACACTGGCACCTTCACTTCTTGTTTGGTTACAGCTACAAACAAAAAAGGTACAATTGCATAGCTCAGTGTTATCTTAAAGCCACCAATTTGTAGGAAGGATGTAAAGAAAAAAATTTGCAGTGAAATTACAGAAATTGTAGGATAGTTATAATGGGAGAACCTTAATTATCTGACTGTAACAATGATAGTAGTAGTGTAAAGGGCAGTGAGGGGCAAGAGATTTTGGATAGTGTTCAGGGAACTTTTCTTGAGCAGTTGTGTTTCCAGGCCAGTGAGAAGGAGGCATTGCTAGATGTAGTTCTTGAAGTGAGGTGAGCTGAGTGCATCAGGCCTAACTAGGAGAAATGTGGGGACAGTAATCATTGCATTAAAAGGTTAAAGCTTGCTGTGGAAATGGGCAAAGAGCTTTCTAAAATACAAAACAAATTGGGAGAAAACCAACTTCGCTGGGGTAAGAACAGAGTAATGCTGAATAAATTAGAGTGAATGGTTGACAGGAAAAACTAGCCTGACAAAGCATTCACCAAAATAGATATTTCAAGCACAATCAAGATAGATATCCTCAAAAAGGAAAGGGTAGGGAAAGCAAATCTAGAGCCTCTGGATGACAAAAAGGTTAGACATTAAAGAAGAAAAGGTGTGTTTTGACAGATGTCAAAATAGAAAATGTTATTGAGAACCAGAATGAATATAGAATGTCCAAACAGGAGGTGGTAAAGCAAATGAGAGAAATAATGACAAAGTCTAAAAGAAAACTGGCAGCCAATGTAACAAGTAATCCCGAAATTTAGTACAGACAGATAAGTGGTAAAAGGAGGACCAGAAGAGGGGATTTATGTGTCGAGGCAGAGGGCATAACTCGTTTATTAAATGGATAATTTGTTTTTTCCAAGAAAGAAAATGATATCCAAACTCTGGTGAAAGAGGATCTAATTCCTATGCTGAAAGGGTTTAAAGTTGGTAAGGAAGAAGTTTTAGACAAGGTTTTATATAGGACAAATTCCCATCTCTGTCTTAAAGAGGTGATCTGTTATTATTTTACTTCCTAACTCCTCCCTCACCTATTTGGCATCTACAAGGAGTGTAAAGGAATATTCTCCACTTGCTGGGATTGCTGCAGCTCCAACAACACTTAAAAAGCTTGACAATAGCCAGGACAATGCAGCCCACTTAACTGGCACCCCATCCACCACCGTCAATATCAGGGATTAGGAGCTTAACTTCTCAAGTCTCTCTCAATAACTTACGGCAATTTTTGTTAGAAAAAGAAAGCTGAGAGGCAGTTGCTTAGAGGTATTCAACATCTTGGTTCTGGCCATAGTAAATGTGGAGAAATTGTTCTCACTCGTGAAAAGTTCATGAATTAGAGGGCACAGATTTAAAGTAATTGGAAAAAGAAGCAAATGTAATTTTGTTCCAGTCAAATTAAAGCATTTGCATTGAAATTACGCTGGTTTCCAAAAAAAGGAAGAACGTGAGGGGTTAGTGGGAGAAGGCTGGAGAATGACAATAAATAAATTGTTCATTTAGAACTGTGGGTGATGTCTTGCACTGTATGAGTTCTGTGACCATCAACCTTAAATTGATTGTCAGTCAGGCATGCGTTGTAGTCTATTTGCATGTAATGAAAGCCACATATTAATACACAGGTTTTTTGCAGCCGTAAAGAACGTGCGCACACACTGCTCCTGTTTCAACTCAACACAGTAGGTGACAACCAAATGCTAGTTCATTCCTCAAAGGTAATGCTGTAAACAACCAGAGTCAACCTGCCTGGTTTAAAATTTAATCAAAACCTGACTGTTAGCTGTCAATCAGCATTTCACCCTGCATTCTCCGTGGCAACACCTTAACAAATCAGAGTCAACTTGCCAACAAATCAGAGTCAACTTGCCAACTAATCAGACTGTAGTCACACAGTATAAAATTGGTTTTCTGCCAGTATTTGTACTCTTGCAAAATGTCCTGATGGGTGCAAATCAAAAAGCTCTGACAAAATTTGTAAGTTTTCAGCAATAATTAAGTCCTGTACAACCAAACAACTATCAAGAAATGTGTTGAAGGTATTTCAGGTAAATTGATGGATTTGATCTCTTTTAGCACTAAACTAACAATGCTTTTCACAAACCATATTACCAATATGTTTTTGTTACTCTAGGCGCCGTAGTAAATGGGATTGTCCAGAATCAGTACCTGTATCAATGGCAGTATCGATAGAGTCGCAGATGAATAATTTTCCTGTCACAATGCCTCAAGTTGCAGTTCATGGTGGTAGTCTCTCTGGTCTCCCGTCAGTCAGTCAGTCTCCTCAGTCTTCATCAGAGGCACTCGATGCAGCAGCTGCTGCCGCAGCTAGGATTAATGCCATGTTGATGGCAAAAGGAAAACTGAAGTTACCGCAGACTCCAAATAACAAAGTAAGTAACGCACTATTTTTTAACATCTTACTGAACAAGAAGGGAGGTTGTTGCACTTCACCATTTTAACACTGGACAATGGAATGCCATTTTCCAATATTCTGCATATTTCATCAAAATATATACAAATATTTTACATTTCTGTTCCATGTTCATTATTTGCATTTTTTCCTCTTCAGTTGTTGTATCTAAATGTTTCAGTGCGTCAGTAAATTATTAGTTAAGGGGAAAGCAACTTGTTTATGCAAAATTTCAGGACCACATAAATTGATGAATAAAGTTCTGTGCTTTTGCCCACCTCTCACTCAAGTCACAAAACCTTGGGTTCAAGTCCAAACATAATGTAATCTAGGTTGATAGTTCATGGTACAATACTGAACATTAGCCTTTTTCAAAGGAGACGGTAAACTTTTTTTGCTGATGCTAATGTTTGATTGTATGACACTGTTTAAGAGAAGGACATTCTCCTGGCCTTGTGGCACTCTGATCACAAAAGTTACCTTTTGAATTTCTGATAAAACTGTTGCAGAGTAACTGCTGATCTTTCATTGTATCAATTTAATGTGAGGTTCTCAAAATTTGATCAGTTGACATTAATGCTGCCTTTCACCACAATAGAAGGTAATTGAACAAGCATAAATTACAACTTGAACAATATTAGCTTTATTTTGTTGTTCCTAAATCACTATTTCTGAGTCTCCATCTAATCTTGCAAACTGTGGCTAACATAATGAAAATAGTATAGGACCAGCAATAGGCTGTTCTGTACCTCAACTCCATTTACATATTTTAGCTTTATCCCTTAGAAACATAGGATCTGTTTATGTTAAAGCTTTAAAGCCTGCTACACCATTCACTGTGATCATGGCTGATATTCTATCACAATGCCCTATTCCCGCTTTCTCCCCATACCCAGTCATGCCTTAAATAGAATTTTTTTTTAGATTTTAATTTCTTGAACATATACAATGACTTTGGCCTTCACAGCCTTCTTTGGTATAGAATTCCACAGATTCACAACATTTTGAATGACAAAACTTTTCCTTATCTCAGCCCTAAATGTTTTCCTCTATCCTGAGACTGTGTCTCCTGATTCTAGAGTCCCAATCGTTGAACACAACCATTCTGCATCTAGTCTGTGCAGGCGTGTTAGAATTTTCTATGTTTCAATCAGATCCCCTCTCAACCTTCTAAACTCAGTACATATAGGCCCAGTTGAGCCAATCTCTCCTTGTAAGGCAGTCCTGTTTTCCCTGATACCATCCTTATGAATTCTACTGCACACCATCTAGATAGGGAGACCAGAACTGCATGCAATTTTCCAGGTGTAGTCTCACCAAAGCTCTGTATAACTGCAGTAAGAGATCCTACTTCTGAACTCAAATCCTTTTGCCGTGAAGGCTAATGTACCATTTGACTTCCTGATTGCTTTCTGCATCTGTCTGTCTACTTTAGTTGGAGAATGTACAAGGACACCAGAACCTTTTGTATATCTATACTTTCCAGTGTTCCACCATTTAAACAATACTTTCCCAAGTGTATAAGTTCACATTTAGTCATGTGCTGCACCTGCCACGCATTTGCTCACTCATTCAACTTGTCTAAATCATCTTGAAGCCTCCTTGCATCTTCCTCGCAACTCTCAATTCTGCCCGGTTTTGTGTCATCAGCAAACTTGGAAATATGGCAGTTGGTTCCGTTGTCCAGGTCGTTTATACATACTGTGAATACTGGGCCCCCAGAATTGATCTTTGCATACCCTACTAGGCACAGCTTGCTACTTGAAGGAAGACCTATTTGTTCCCACTATCTTTACTGTTTGTCAACCAATTCTGAATCCACTTTATATTTGCTATGATGAAATCACCTATTCAATGTTGTTTAACGTTGCCCACTAACCTCTTGTGAGGAACCTTACCAAAAGCGTTCTGAAAATCCAACGACATCGCATCCACTGGTTTTTCCCTTATCTATTCTCCTGGTTGTGTCCTCCAAAAAAAAACTCCAGATTTTTTTTAAGCATGATTTTCTTTTCTTAAACCTACACTGGCTTTGTCCAATCCTGTTCATTCTTTCCAGATATTCTGTTATTAGACTTTTATAATAGACTCTTGCATTTTCCACTCTACTGATATTGACTAACTGGTTTGTTTTCTCTCCCACCTTTTATGTTTATTTTTGCCATCCATTAATCTGTAGGAATCGCTCCAGAGTTCATAGAATTTTTGGAAGATGACCACCAATGCATCCAGTATTTCCAAGGCCACTTCTGTCCTACTTTGGAATGTAGTTTATCAGACCCTGGCAATGTCTCAGCCTTTAACTTCATTAATTTCCCCAGCATTATTTTCTCCCTAATCCTGAGTTCCTTCAATTCTGCCTTCTCACTGAGATCCTTATATCCCTAACATTTCTGGGAGGTTATTTGTGTCCTCTTCCGTGAAGACAGAACCAAATAATGTATTCAATTCTTCAACCATTTCTTTATCTCCCATTATAATTTCTCCACTTTCTGACTGTTCACGCACCTGCATTTGTCTTTACTAATAGTTTTCTCTTTGCATATTTCGGGAAACTTTTCTGTATTCAGTTTGTATTCCCTATGATTTTACTCTTGATTTATTTTTCCCCTTTTGGTCAAACATTTTGCCCTGTTTTGTTGATATGATCTTCATAATCCTGCAGCCATGTGTTGGTAATCTCATTTATATCGTAATCATTTATATCTGTTTGAAATGCTAATTCATCTACCTAATTGAGAACGCTCTGCACATCAAGTCACAAAGCCTTTAGACTTGTCTTTTTAACCTTGTAGTCATTATAGCTTTATATTACAATGTGTCCCCATTTCTTTCTCACCCTTGTTTTTACTACCTTCCACTTTTGTTTGCTTCTTACCTCTGTCTTTTATTTCTACCCTGCTTTTTTTTCCTCCTTTTGTCCCCTGGCTCTGGTTCCCATCCCTTGCTGGATTAGTTTAAACCTTCCCCAATAGTACTAGCAGCAGCAACAACCCCCGCACACCCTACCGCACCATTTGTACTGGCCCCATTTTCCCCAAAACGCACTTTTCAGTTTTTGTCCTAATTTCCTATATTCTAATTGTTGTGCCTCATTTTTTTACCTATGCTGCCAGTACTGATATGTATCATGACCACGGACTGTTCAGCCTCCCCTTCAGAATTCCCTGCAACCACTCTGAAATAGCCTTGACCCAAGCACTAAGAAGAGAAAATGCTGGAGTGTCTTTTGCGGCTGTAGAAACACCTGTCTATTTCCCTTCCCATTGAATTCCTTCTCATTATAGCCCTGTCATTATTTTCCTTGATACAATCTAACCCTTTTCTATTAGAAAAGGCTATTATCTTGTTCAACAATTATGTCCTCAAAGAGAAAGAAATTCGGTGAAACTGTTGCCATGGAAAGCATATGCAATTGTTTAATGCTGTTTAACTACAGCTAGGATAACTTAAATAAATTGTGAATAGTGCACTCTTGACTTTACAATAGCAAAGCAGAGTAGAAATGAATAAAGGACATAGAAACATGAGTTCTGAAGTAGGGTCACTGACTCAAGAATTTAAATTCTGTTTTTCTCTTCACAGATGCTGCCAGACTCGCTGAGTTTCTCCAGCAATTTCTGGCTTTGTTTGTTTCATCTCTACTTCAGGTCTCTGTTTAACCACTTTGCATGACTTTCTTAACTGATTATTCTTAATTTGCCCAAAAATATAAGTAAAGCTTACATGCTGCACCAGTTGCTGCTCTTGGCGGAAGAGTGCAACTTGACGATCCAGCATGAATAAACTGTTTCCTTTACTTTATTAGAGTCTGTGTTTAAAAACTGCTAAATAATCAGTTCCATTCATTTGATAACTTTTCCTTCCAGCCAAAGTCTTCAAAATCGACATCCCATGCAAAGAACAAAGATGATATGGTCGTTGCTGAAATTGAAATTAATGATGTTCCTATTGTCTGTAGAAATCTACTTACGAGAGGTCACACACAAGATGAAGTAAGTAATTAAACATTTTAACGAATTTTCCTTTGGACATTTTGTATGTAGTTTATGAAAGAATTTGGAAGCAACTGCAAGTAATAAAAGTAAACCTTTCAGTGTAAATATTTGTAGAACTTGTATTTATATTTTGCCTTTAATGTTGTAAAATATTCTGAAATGTTTCAAGGAGTGTTGTGAAACAAAATTTAACACTGATCCATGAAGATACAAGGAGCACTTGACTGAAAGCTTGATCAAAGAGGAAAATTTTAAGGAAGACTTTAAAGGGAGAAAGAGGATAAAGAGGTTTAGGGAAGGAATGTCGGGGTTTGGGGATTTGGCATCTGAAGGCTTAGCTGTCAGTGATGGAATTATTAAAATTGGATATGCTTAGGACATTTTTAGTTTGTAGAATAGCAGTACCTGGGTATGAGACTTAATTTTAAAAGTCTCTTTACAATGAATCTCTGAGGCTGATTTTCCAAGCAGTTTTCCATTTATCCCGCTCTCTGCATAACAAAGGTACTGAGCAGGTAGACAGTTAAAATTGCCCAGGGTACTTGCCAGTCAAAAAGTTCTGTGCAATCCGCGGAGCAGGTAGCAAGGACACTCAGCCAAAACCAGTAGGTCTCCTCTTTAGATGTATATACTTGTAATTTTACATGCTGATTTTTTTTTTATTTGGGGAAGTGCTTCTAGTTGATGCTACTTCAGTAAACGCTTTTTAAAAAAAAGGTAGATTTTTTTGAACAATAAAGGAATTAAGGGATACGGTGAGAACGCGGATAAGTGGATCTGAGTCCATGAAAGGATCAGCCATGATCTTATTGAATGGCGGAGCAGGCTCGAAAGGCCAGACGGCCTACTTCTGCTCCTAGTTCTTATGTTCTTATGTTCTACAACAGAATAGACACAAAGAAGAAGGCTGGGGAAAAGATCATAGAGATAGGATAATGCAAGACCATCGAATGATTTGAAAATCAAGTTGAGAATTCTAAAATCTTAAATGTTACTTAACATGGGAATTTGTGTGATTTAGCATAAATGCAACAGAGATTTTAATGAACACAAGTTTACAGAAGGTAGAAAGTAGGAATCAACTAGGTGGGGTTATGTTGAAAAAGTCGAATATAGAGGTAAAACAGATATGGATGAGAATTGCAGCATTGGATGAACTGAGGCAGAGTCTTAAGCTTGACAATTGAAAGTATGTAGATGTCTGTATATAATTTCTGAGCGGCAATTAGAACCGTAGAATAGAATTGTGCAGGACAGAAGGCGGTCATTCAATTGTTTGTGCCTGTGTGGCTCTTTGAAAGAGCTCTGCCAGTTACTCCCACATCTCTATTCTTTCCTCATAACCAACACACCCTCTGAGTTTTTTTTTAGTACAGTACAGCTCATTTGTTTGTGCGTGTACCCCTTTAAACTTCTTATGTGGCTACATGTGCTGTATCTTAGAGAGCCGATTTGTGCTTGGCTTGCATTGGATCCTCTGGGTTGCTGCTTGACTTCCCAACTTTGAAAGAACATTACTGATAAACCTGTACATGTTTCCTTTTCAAATATGTGTTCATTTCCCAGTTGGTGGTGGTTATGGAATCTACTTTCACCATGCTTTCAGTAAGTATATTCCATTTATCTAAATGCTTACTTAAAATAATTTCTCCAAATTTCATTAATCATAACTCTACACCTTTGGTTATCACCTTTCCTGTCTTTCTGCTGTAAAGAGAACACCTCCAGCTTCTAGTTTCTCTATAAAACTGAACTGTCTTATCCCTAGTATGACTCTTACACATTTCTGAGCTCTCTTCAAGGTCATAATACCTTTGACCACATTTAGAAACATGTTTTATCTGGGACCGTCTGTTTATCTCTGCTCAATTTATTGCTGATTGGTCTATATGGGACATAAGACGCAGAAGCAGGCCATTTGGCTGAATCAGTCCATATTGGTACTTATACTTCATTCAAGCCTCCTCCTTTCTTTCCTGATCTGGATGTTCCATTGTTATCATCTATTCCCATCTCCCTTGTATGCTTGTCTGGCTTCCTGTTAAATGCATCTTTACTATTTACTTCTTCCGTTTGCTGTGGTAGCAGGTTCAACATTCTCATCACACTTAGGCCTAAAGTGGTTTCTTGGTGACTATTTTATACTGTATTGGTGGACTCAATTAGAGTCTATTGTCCAAGAGGGTAATTCACGCTCAGTCTAATTCTTCAGACCCTTTCATGATTTTAAAAACTTTTATTAAATCATCCCTCCAATTTCATTTTCACAAGAGACCCATCTTGCCAATCCATGCCTAATATTCATAGCGACACATTTCTCATATCCTTGTGAAATGTCTCTGCGCCCTATTCAGTGCCTGTAATCTACTTATAATATGGCAACTAAGTCTTGACAGATGTGTAGCATGTCTTCCCTACTTCTAAATTTCTTTTCTCCTATCTGCTGAATCCATAAAATGTCTTTATTTTCTTTTCTCCTCCTACCCACCTAATTATATCTTTCTAGAAATAAAACTTAACATCTGGTTTGTTTGTAATCACCATGGTAACTTGTGGTGCAGCTTTTAATTTTCTTTTGTACTCCAAATCTCCTTTGCTCCTTTATCCCATCTAGACGTGCACCTTCTAAGTAATGAGTGACCTCTATTATTCCCATGAAAATATTGTACTTCACTTATCAATGTTGAATTTATCAACTCTGCAAGTTTATTTAATGTCACCCTCAGTATGCACTATCCTTCCCGAAATTGGTGTCATCACCAAATTTAGGAACTGTGGGTTTTAATTGCACCGTACCAATTATTAATATAAATTTGTTGAAAGTAGTGGTCCAAACACCAATCTTGTGGAACGCTACTTCCCTCCTTCAGCCACTTCAGATAAAGTACTGGTTTGTTCTTATGTGCTGATAATGCTTGTTACTGTCTCCTAGATACTATGTAAATCATTTTACTTTTTTTCAGATAAACAAAATCAGTGGTGCTGCAGTTTCCACCAGAGGGCGGTATATGAATGCCGATGAGAAGCAAATAGCAGCACAAGGGTAATTGCATTTTCTAGTTTATTTGAGCAATGTGCTGCAGGGCACAATATATTTTCCATATTGAGTTGAGCATTGTGTTTTAATTAAAAACAATTACACATTAATGATTTAATCTCTCTTACCATACAAATGCAAAAACAAAAGGCATACACCTTTTTGGGGTTAAGAAATCTTTTGTAGCAGGAAATTGGAAACTGGCATTGTATTTCACCTCTGCCTTCCAATTTGCATGAAAGTCTGTGACTAAATGTTGCCAGAGTTTCCACAGGAGAAATAGCCCATTAAGTCATACATATCGTTTAGAAAATTACCTCTGTGTTTTGATTCTGAAAAGGCTGGAGATCAGAATTTTTAGAAGAAGCTGTCCTTCACTGTTATGCAATTTAAAAAATTCCTAGCAAATTCCGGAATTAAGATTATGGAAAATTACTATTTGAAAAGTAACTTTTTTCGGTATGGATGAGAGTGGGGCAATAAGTTGTATGAGTGAATTGACCATGGATCATGATGCAGGAAGATATTCAAGATGGTAGAGTAGGAATGTTGTGATAGTAGGGGCCAGTGTTATCAAGGGATATACTGTAATAGTCCTTTGCATTGAGAGTGAGAGCCCAGAATACTCAATTGTTGACTGGTGCCAGGATTTGGGATATCTGTCCTCGGTTGGAGAAGAGCTAGCAGCAGATTTAGTTGTCGTAGCACATGTTATCTATGTTATTGATAATACAAGGAAGTAGATTCTGCTTGTGATCAGCTAAACGACACATTAAAAAGCAAAATCTCAAAGTTAATAATCTCTGGTTTATTACAAGATAGCAAACAACATGGATGAAGGGGAGCCTGTATATATTATGTAATTCAGTTCCAAAAGACCTGATTAGGTGTCATGTTAAGAGATTGCAACATAAGATAAGAGCATGTGATAAGGCCATAAGTTTACAGAGAGATATTGATAGGTTAAGTAAGTGGGCAGAAAGTTGGCAAATGGAGTGTAATGTGGGAAAATGTGAAGATGTCCATTTTGGAAGGGAGAACACAAAAGAACGGTAATATTTAAATGGACTAAAACAGGTCTTGCAATACATAGGGGCTACTTGTGCACGAAACACAGAAAGCTAGCACAGATACAGCAGGTAATCAAAAAGGCTGGAATTTTGGCCCTTCATTCAAGGGGGTTGGAGGATAAGGGAACTGTACAAGGTATTGATGAGACCACATCTGGAGCACTGAGGCATTTTCAGCCCCCTGTGCTCACTCGACTATAGAAGAGTGAGAGGTGATCTCATTGAAACATGTAGGATTCTTAAGGTGCTTGACAGGGCAAATGATGAGAGGATATTTCCCCTCATGACAGAGTGTAGGACCAGAAAGCATTGTCTCAGAATAATGGGGTGCCAAATTTAAGACTGAGATGAGGAGGAATTTTTTTCTCAGAGTCTTTGAAACTATTCGCGCTAAGAGAGCAGTGAGGGTGGAGATACCTGATAGGCCATGATCCTAACGAATGGTGAAGCAGGCTCAAGGGATGGAATGGCCTACTCCTGCATGTCTCTCTTACGGCCTTTTACAACCTGCCCAGCCGCCTATTTTGGTGTCATCTGCAAATTTAGCTCCAATACATTCATTTTCTTTCTCCAAGTCATTAATAAATGTTGTAAACAGTTGTGGTCCCAGCAGTGATCCCTATGAAACCGGTCAAGGGTCATAAACCTGAAAAAGTACCCCTTATCCTCACTTTCTGTTTCCTGTCCGTGAACCAATTCTCTATTCATTGCCAACACCGTGGGCTCTGATGATTTAACTTTTTAAGGGCACGTTGTTGAACTCATTCTGAAAGCCCAAATACCACCAAATCCAACTGGTTCTTGTCTCTTGATTGAGACCTTCTTGAAAATACCTAATAACTAAGACAGACAAGATTTCCTTTTCAGGAAGCCATGCTGGCGCTGCTTGATTAGATTACCATTTTCCAAATGTTCTGCTACTACTTCCTTAATAATTGATTCCTGTACTTTTCCAACAATGGATGACCTACTTTTTGCCTCCTTCCCTTTTTGAATGTGAGGGTGTCATTAGCAGTTTTCCAAAGTTCTTGTACTTCTCCAGAATCTAGTGAATTTTGGTAAATTACAACGAATCCAACTACTATCTTTTGTTGCCCCTTAGGATCTTAAAATGCAAGTTGTCAGGGTCAGTGGACTATATTTAACCCCAATAGTTTCTCTAATACTACTTCTCTAGTGATGACGATGATGGTATTTAATTTTTCCTTCCCAATTTTCTTTAGTATTTTTGATATGTTTGACGTATCTTTCACTGTGAAGACTGATGCAAAATATCTGTTTAACTCCTTAGCCATTTCCTTTTTCTGAAAGACTGTCTTCCCCAATTCATTTTCTGAGGGGCCTCTTGTCAGCTTTTATGTTCCTCAATCGTTTCTCTGTCTTTGTTATCTTTTTAGTCCTCCTTTGCTGGATTGTAAATTTTTCTTGGTTTGGGGGCTGTCACTGACTTTTGCCTCTCTTATATGCTTTTTCTTTCAACTTAATACTTTCTTTAACTTCCTTGGTTAGCCATGGTTGGTTTTGTCCCTTTCAGAATTTTTCCTCCTTACTGGGATGTATGCGAATCATGATTTACCTCTTTTAAATATCTGTTCCTGCTTGCTTGCTTTCGTTCATGCTAATCTGTCAGCTCAGTTTACTTTAGCTAACTCTATTCTTATTTCATTGTAATTCCCTTTATTTAAGTTAAACACTGTTGTTTCTGACCCACGTTTCTCATTTTCAAACTGAATATTAATGATCACTACTTCGAAGGGGATCTTTTACTCAGGTCATTTATTAAAACTATCTCAGTACCCATTACTAGATCCAAGATAGCCTGCTCTCAGTCGGCTCCATGACCTATTGCTGTAGCACACTGTATCTAATGCATTGTATGCATTTGTTGTCGTAGCTACCCTTTTTTAATTGGATTAACCCAATCAACATGAAGATCAAAGTCACCAATAAGTATTGCTCTGTTCTTTTTACGTGCTCCTATTATTTGTTGATATATAGCCTTTCCGAAAGAGTGGTTACTATTTGGGGTATGTACTACTCCTTTCCCTTGCTGATTTTTACCGCCACCTGAACGGATGTTACATCATCCGAGTCTGTATATCTTTCACAACTGTCCTCATTTTTTATTAGCAATGTTACCCCACCACCTTTTCCATCACTCCTGTCCCTCCAAGAGGTCAAATATCCTTGAATATTAAGTTCCCAGTTTTGATTTCCTTGTAACCATGATTCCATATTGGCAATGCATTCATATTCATTTCCAAATGTTTTATGCGTTAAGATACTTAGCCTTTAAGTTTATTCTCTTATTCAGTTTCCCTACACCTTTATGATACCTTAGTATGATATGTCATGCACATACTCTGTTTCTTCCTTTTATTTTCTGGTAACAATCAACCCAATTACTAATCTGCACTCCTTCCTTCTCCTTGATGTAGGACAGGATTCCACAATTGTGGATTATGAACCCCAGCGGGGTCCGTTTAAATTGTTCAATTCTTTTAACAGTGGGTGTGGTCTTACTGTCCAATCTTGTAGGTCTGAATCTCCTCCTAAAAAGCTAGGTAAGTTTACTTAAAAACCTTGTGAATGAAACAGTTGTCCCTCGTGCCACTCTTGGTTCCCTATTCTCCTGGGGTTTGGATCTCCGGAATTCTCATCCACCAAATAAGGTTATGATTGGAATAGTCTTGGGAAACAGTGGTGTGAAGGGGTAACATTCATGTAAATAAGGAGTTGGAAAACTGCAAGTAATGGAGTGCCACAGGGATCATTCCTGGGTTGCAACTGTTTTCAGTTTGTATCGATGACTTAGATGAAGGGAACAAATCTTTGGTAGCTAATGACACCTAAAGGAAGGAAGTTTTCAGTAGGAAGTAGAAAGTCTGCAAAAGAGTAGAGGTATGTTAAATGAGTGGCAAAAAATTAGCAAATGTCCACTGTGATAGGAAGAATAGAAAAGCTGAATACAATTTAAATAGAAAAAGATTGTTGTACTCCGGTGCCGAAGAAAGTGTTTATTAAGGCAAATGAATATTGGGGTTTAGTGTGAGTGGAATGGAGTCTTAAATATAAGAAACTTTTACTGCAACTATAGAACATAGAACAGTACAGCACAGTACAGGCCCTCCACCCCTACCTTATACTATCATCCATATGCTTATCTAATAGCCGCTTAAATGCCCCTAATAAGGCCGACTCCACTACCCTCTCCGGCAATGCATTCCACGCTCCTACCACTCTGAGTAAAGAACCTACCTCTGGCGTCTCCCCTATATCTACCTCCACTCACTTTAAAACTATGCCCCCTTGTAATAGCTACCTCCACCCTAGGAAAAAAACTATAAAGCATGTTAGGTCTTATCTGGAGTACTGTGTACAGTTTTAGTTTCATTATTTGAAAAAAAAAATGATTGTGTTTGGGTGGTTAAGAAAAGATTCACTCAAATCATTCCTAGGATGAATGGTTTGTGAAGAAAGATTGAACATGTTGAGCCTGCATCTATTGGAATTTAGTCTCCCTTTTAAGACAGATGAGGATATTTTTTACCTCAGATTGCTGATACTTTTATGGAATTCTTTCCCTAAGAAAGCAGTGGCTGCGTCATTAAATTTATTCAAGGCAGGGTTAAATGGATTTTTGATAGATCAGGGAATCGAGATTATAGGGAACGACAGGAAGGGAGTTTTAAAAACAGCCAAATCAGCCATAATTTTATGGCAGAGCAGCTCAAAGGACTGGATAGCCTAAGCCTAGGTCAGAAGCTAATCAATTTTCTTTTAGAGCTTTAAGGTGTGAGGGGAGAGATTTAAAAGGGCCTTAAAGATTTAAAAGGCAACTTTTTCACGCAGAGGGTGGTACGTATATGGAATGAGCTACCAGAGGAAGGCTGGTACAATTACAACATTTAAAAGGCGTCTGGATGGTATATGAATAGGAAGGGTTTAGAGGGATATGGGCCAAATGCTGGCAAATGGGACTAGATTAATTTACGATATCTGGTCAGCATGGATGAGTTGGACCAAAGGGCCTGTTTCCATGCTGTACTGCTTTGATTGTATGACTTATTTTATCATGTGGGTGTGGATGTCACTGGCTAGGCCAGCGTATATTATTCATTCATAATGATGAGCTAATAATGAGAGGAGGTGGTGGCATAGTGGTAATGTCATTGAACTGGTAATCCAGAACCACAGGCGAATGTTCTGGGGACATAGGTTCTTATTAGGTGAAAAGCCAGTCTCACGATGACCGTGTAACCGTTGTTGTAAAAAGACGTCTGGTTCAGTAATATCCTTTCAGGAAGGAAATCTGCCATCCTTACCTGTTCTGGTCTATACATAACTCCACACTGTGAGCAGTGTAATAAGTTGACTATTGAGTCTGGGCAATAAATATTGGCCAAGCAGAGACACCCACATCCCATGAAGAGATTTTTTAAAAATTGCTCTTGAGAAGATGAGAACTATTGCAGTCCATGTGGTGTAGATACTTCCATAGTTCTGTTAAAAAGGAAAATTCAGGATTTGGCATCAAATGGAAGTGCAGGAACAGTGCTTATTCCCACTCATTTTCATGTATTATTCAAAGAGGGGCTTACAACTCGCAAGTTCCTGTGCATCTGCTGACCTTGTCCTTCTAGGTGGTAGAGGTCATGGGTTTGTTTGAAGGAGGCTAAGCAAGGTGATTTTTCTTATTCTTTCAAGGGTTCTGAGCGTTTCTTACCAGTTCCATAATTATCCCTGAACTGAGTGGCTTGCTAAGTTATTTCCGAGGGTAGTTAAGAATCAACCGCATTGCTACAGGTCTGGAGTTGGCATCGAGTTAGGTCACTCATGAACCAAATGACTGGTAATTGGTGATTATTATCATTGTGACTGTTACTAAGATGGCTCAATTTCAGAGTTGCTATTTCAATTCAGCTGCCATTTGGATCCATCTTCCCAGAGTATTCACCTACTTACTAGTCTGGTGACAGTACCACAGTGCTGCTGTCTCCCCTTAAAGTGCAGAGCATCTTGTATGTGGTGCACACTTATTTCATACTTTTGATTGCATGTATCTAATTAACATTGATAACATCATAAACATTTCTTTTTGAAACTGAAAACATGGAATTAAAGAGCTTTGTGTTGATTTTTCCACTTATTTTGCTTTTAAAGTAGAATTTATGTGTAGTTCTATGGCAGCTGATTACATGTGAAAATGCCAAATATCTTAGAAGCTTGTTTCGAAGTATTATAATCACCATGTAGCTCAAAAAAATAGAATACTTCAGTTCTTTGAATTATGCTGCTGTAACCTTTACCATTTTGAACTTTGTATTTTACATTTGCATAGTCTTTGATAAAAATTCAGCCACCTGCCTCCTACCTTTCTCTTCCTCCTCCCCCTTGAAGGCCTTAGTGTAGGAACTGAACTGAAAGCAGAGCCACTAACGTTTATAGAAGGAAGAATCATCTCTCATATTACATGAAGATAACTTTTTAAAGATAATGATGGCACATTTTCTTTTCTCATTACACATTCACTTTTTTTTTTAATTAAAAAAAGAGTTGGCTGTCTTGCATTTGTCCTGATGAGTGCAAGATGAAAAGCTTTGTCAACATATGTCTTTTTAGAACCATTCAAGGTCTGTACTGCCAAGTGAAAGAAAGAATCCTGCATTTTCATAATGAGAAGCTTTATACTTTTGCAAGATCAAAGCCATTTGACCTCTATCTTCTGGCAAATTACTATATTTGCATTAGATGGTATTAATACTTATGAGCCCAGTGTCATTCTTATCTCTGATTAATTTGGATTGTAATCACTACCTCTGCGAAGACCACGTTTCCAAAGTATCTTAAATTGCCCTTGAATAAGCGCAAGTGTGTGCCCCTGTCCTACTGTAGTGGTGTATTTGCAAATATTGGTGCTTGTTGACTTGCTTGCTCTGTACTTTGTTTCCTCTGGGGTTAGTCTTTGAGAAGAGCATCATATCTGTTAAGTTCAAAACTTATTTGGCTGTGTAATTTAGGAGTAAGAGCAAATTACTGCAGATGCTGGAATCTGTACTGAAAACACGCACGTTGGCGATCACAGCGGGTGCGGCAGCATCCATGGAGAGAGACAGCAAGCTAGCATTTCAAGTCTAGATGACACTTCATCAGAGCTCTGCATTGTAAGGGCATAACGTAGAATGTAGTTGATAAGTATTTCATTGTGGCTGTCAGTAATATATTTAACAAAGCAGTTAAAGAGCATAACAAACCAGAAGTCACTAGAATGTTTAACAAAGAGGAATGTTGTATTTTTCTGACATGTTATTTATATGTATGATTTTTTTTTTTAAAAAGTACAGCCCTGTGAATGGTCAGTTGTATTATCTAAATGTCCGCAGTGGTTCTGGTAAAGCTCTGGGTTGAATCCCAGGGACTTGAGCACAAAATATAGTACAATTTTCCCATGTAACACTTAGGGGTCTGTTGGAGATGTTTTTCATTAAACATTAAGCTGAAATCCCATCTGCCCTGTCAGGTGGGCTTAAATATTAAGTTTTCTGGCCAGTATTTATCCCTCAATTAACATTATTAAAGCATCTGATTTTTATTGAGCTGTTTGTGTGACCGTGCTGTCTGAAATTGGCTGTCATACCACACAATATATTGATTTCTATTCACAAATATTTCATCAGCTGTAAAGAACCTTGGGATTATCTTGAAGTTGTGAATAAAACTATAAATTTAGGTCATTTCTCAAAAGTTTTATTAAAGTGAGCATTGGGTGAAATCTGATTATTAGCTCAACTAGGATATTGTCCTGGATCATATTTATTTCTTAATCAACATCATTAAAACATATTATTTGTTCATTTTATACTTACTTATGGGACCTCGCTGTGTGCAATTTGTATACTGTGTTCTCTACATTACACAACATTGCATTTCAGAGTTGTCTAAAAGACAATTTGTGATATGCTGAGATTGCGAAAAGTGCTATATAAATGAAAATCTTTTATATACAAAACTGTTTTCTTTGCCTAACTCTTTAGTTACTCGTAGATAATTGACCAGTACTGAAACCCAGAATCACAGTTTGTGTGTTTTGCTTTAAAGTATGAAATTTATTTTATCTTTGGTGCCATTGTTATGCATTAGTAACATTGAAGTTAAAGCGCTTTAAGTCAATAATTATTCTTTCTTTAGGGATCGACCCCTCTACCTTTGCATACAGGCACAGACGCAGAAGAGTGTGGACAGTAAGAACTGTTGAAATTGCTACGTCTAATTTCGCTGATGAAAATTCAGTCATTTTTGTGTAATCTGGGTGCTAATTGTAATTTTTATACTCAATCATAATTGTTAAACCTACAAAACATTGGGTGCTATCTGATGAATAATAGACTGTGGCCCAGATCTTCTGTTCTTTGGCTAGCCAGGGACCAGGCATACACTGAAAGATGTGCATCGGGACTTTCTGGGAGTCCTCACGCACTGATTATGCGGAAATTGGTTTGGAAGTTTACATTTCCGATGGGCACTAGCCACCCCCAAAAAATCCACAAATCTGATTTAGAGTCCGAGACTTCGGAGGATTGTAACTCAGCTTTATGGTTAGCCAGCAAATGTAAGAGGAATTAAAACCTGCTCATGGCGACTATGAAATTGAACCCCAACTCCAAATTCCAACTGGACAACCCCTTACCCCAGTCGCTTCTGCTGCCACTCCTCTGATGCCTGACCCACCCTATCCTCTCGCCTTCCATATCACATGTACTCTGTCGTCCACCTGCCACCTGATATCCCTCATCCACCTATTTTTGCACTTCTCGCAGTAGTTGTCAAAATGGCTTTGGGACCTTTAAATGAGTTACTTACTGGCTGCTATCCCCATAAAAAGGGGACTCATCGTGGTCTCCTGCGCTCATCAGCGCTGAGTGGATTTCTAGCCGGTTTCCTACAATGGAGGACAGATTCTGAATGCTGGCGTAATGGTCACTGACAGGTAAGTGAGCAATCTTTGATAAGGTTACTGTCAGTTGTGTATTCTGATGGTAATTGGAAGATCTGGGTCTATCTTCCATCTACTTAATAGATTATTTCTGTTGATCTTAAGTGTAGATTGTAAATTATTTTGTAACTGATTATTTTCCCCTGTAATCTTTTCTTGTATGAAGGTATTAAGTGGGGCATGATTCCATGGGGTCAGTCGCCGCCACATACTTCACTCAAATGATTGTTGTTTTTATGTAACCCTGGCCATGATTATCAGCGGGCCGTTTTCCGAGAGGCCATGAAGAGTAGTCCTTATTTTCTCTGTACATGCACTACACTCTCTATAGCACCACTCATAGCTGATTTTCTACCTTACGTTGTTAAACCAGTGGTTCTCATGCCAGTTTTGTATCCATATCACTTTTTTTTTTGCCAGTCCCCTGCCTTTACCACCCCCTGTGTGATCTGGCTAACTTAATACAGAAAGGGACTAAATCTGTCTTTGGATCACCTACTCATTAAAAACTTCTGTAATAGAGGGACTGTACCTATCTTTTAACATGTTGCATTAATTCAGTTAAAATGAAATAGAACTTAAGTTTGAATAATGCGTAACAAAATACTGGTTTTACGTAATTGCTTTGGAAAAAGACTGAATTGTTCATTTTAATGCAGAACCAATGCGATACTAAAGTTTGGGGAGCATAGTAGATTTTTTTAATTATGTGAACTTCTCTACTGAGATGTTAGAACATGTCACAACTGTCAAAATACTTAATTTTGGACTGGAATATGGTTTTGAAGATAATGTGTAGATTGTTGAATTTGTTAATATAAAAATGTTATAAATTTATTGCAGGAATTGCACTTTCATTCAGGTTTTTATCTTCCAAACCTGCTGATGCAGTCTCCGTTATGTTTTCTTCAGCAGGTCATTGTTGAGTTTGATTTTTTTTAAAAAGTCCTACTGACGGTGTTAATAAAGTAGATTGTGTAGTAAATTTTATAGGCATGTTGAGACCATCTTGAAGCGTTTTTAGGTTTTTTTAATTTACTTGCAGTTATTTTGCTGTAATATAACTTCCATTCCAAGAAAACAATGTGCACCAAGTACAGCTGATTTGTTTTCATCTCAGGGGCTGTAAACAGGATCAAAGAGATTATTGGTGAAGCATTAGCAAAAGAAGCCATCAAACAGCCACTTCCACCTGTAGTGACATCTACTGCAAGGAGTAGTCCTATGGCTGCACACAATTCTCCATACAACTCTTTGCCCCAGTTACAACCAGGGGTATGTATGGTTTAGGCTAAAACAGAATGTTGGTATGCAGTTGTGTTGGTTAATCTTAGTTACAGAAGCATTTGTAAATGAATTTACGCATTGACAGATTTGGAATAAATACACAATTGAAATATAATATTACAGCCTTGTAATTTAATTTTAAATTCGTTATCCTGATGTGACTGTGCTGATTTAATAACTGCAATATTACTCTAATTCCAGATTTACAGAAGACAATAATCTGTTAAATCGGATACTTCATTTAAAGCACATTTTTGCTAAATGATTGATGCCCGCTTTGAAATTGAATTGGACAACAAATGGTTCAGCCTGCTTTAAATAAGAATTTTAAAATTAGAGGTGGTAGGATTCCAGTGAGACCTGTTTGCTTTACTTGCCTTCTACTTGGCTGAAGCTGTAATCCTTACGTCTTTGCATGTTTCTGTTCACACAAACACGGAGCTCTACCTTAAGGTTTAAAATATTATATTTAGAGACCATTTAGGGGAGAATCTCTTCTCTTTAAACATCTGAATTAGATTCAGGTAGGTTTAAAACATGAGCGTAGCAGAATTCCTGAGCACTTCCAGGTTTGCTATGACACTGAACTTCAACTCTGCAATCCCATGTACTTTCCCCTGACGATTATTACTTGCTGCATAGTCTGGTCAGGTCTTAACTGTGTGTGTGGCAAAGTTGGTCTCTGTGTAAAATCAAAATCTTTCTGCGTTGACAATAAATGATCACTATAAATCTGCCCTTAGTCAGAAATTAAGTGCGCAGTTTTGATACATTGAAAAATTGTGTTCAAAGAAAGGCCATTGGTCTTGAGTAGTGAAAAAATCTTCCATTGTGAATAGAAATTGCCTGCAAACAATCTGATGAAAAATAAGGTTGCCACTGTCTTGAAACACCATAATCTGGCGCCGATCTCAACAACAGCAACTTTTATAACATCTCTTGTTCAATAAAAGCTTCCCATAGCATATGACAGGTTAATTCTAAAACCAGATATGAAGCTGAGTCATTTCAGAAGCTATCAGGTCTCGTGACCAAAAGCATGGTCAAAAAGGTAAGTTTTAAGGTGTGTCTGATGAATATTAATGCGAATTACAACGAATAATACATTAAAATCTTGTGCTTTTATAGATTATCCACAATATAAGAGAAAGGAGCACATTTGAAATTAACAATCAAACAATTCAATTAAATTCTAAAAGCAATTAATTTCAAATCAGAACAGTCAAGCTTTCAATTTTAATCCTGTTTTTAATTGTGTCTTTGAGAGAGCAGTTTGCATTTGTGTCAATGCCTTTTTTATTTGACATTGTTTTAGACTGCAGTGTCCAACTCCATCCTTGTGTGCCACTTTGCTGCTTATGATCCCAGCAAATCACAAAATGAAATATTCAAATGGTGGACAATAAACTCCTTTAATGGAAAACAGAATTTGGAAGTACTCAGCAATTAAAGGAGTATCTGCGAAGGGAGAAACAATGAAAGTTTCTGGCTGATGACTTTTTGTTCGAGCTGGATACATTATGAGATTTACCGGTTTATAAGCAAATACAGAGCTAGAAGAAAGGTTGGGGAGAAAAGTAATGATGAAAACAATAAGAGTATCTTATTGGATGGAGTGCAGTGCAAATGACAAAAGAGATGAGGGTGTAAGACAAAAAAAAGACAATGGAACAATAAAAAACATCAAAAGTTGGGTTGCGAGTATGTGTAGATTTTAACAGGTAAACCTTTCCAAGAATCTGCTGTCTGAAAAAATGTGAGCAGTGGTTATAATCTAAAGTTGTCGAAATGAGAATTTTATCTGAAAAGCTGTATAGTGTATTTCTGAATTGAGAAATGGGGCGTGGTTTCTCTGGCTGTTGTTGAAATAATGTAGTAGTCAGAACAGGATGGAGAATAAACTTCAGTATCTAGTTAGTATTATTGTAGAGGAAAAGTACTTTGGCTTTTTAGAATGGTCAATCATGTTTGTGGGTCACATCTGAATTGGGCAATATTTTGGGTCTGTTTGACCACGAATTTGAAACGATTTCAGCAAATCTTTTATTGTTTTGTCTGTTTGGTGTTTTGTTTATTGCTTTAACTATCTCTTATTAATTTTTTGCTGTTTAAATTAGTGTAATTCCAACATAATTCAACTAGGCAAATACAGTAAAATGAAGTGTGGTTCCTATGACTGCTGTTAGCATCGCCTTATGATTGACTAACAGGATATGTGACATAAGGAGGGCCTTCACTACCATTGCATTCCTGTGTTATGTTAACTGCTGTTTGGTTTCCTTGAAAAAGATAAGTTTTATTTGGCATGCTGTAATGCATTGTAATTTTTATAGATCCCTGCTGGACAGCTGCTTCATGACACGTTAAACTGTGACATCAAAAGGTTTTGTTTTACTCCCGTACCTACCGAGGTCACCATGAAGGCCCCGCCTTCTCAACCTCACCTCTTGATTGAGGTATGGTGTCCCTCAGGTTAAACTTATCAACAGTCATCTTTCTTTGATGAGAGACTGGCTTGTGGTCTTCTGGGGTTTTGGTGAATTTCACTTTCATTTATAGAACCTCATTTATTCGTAAACCTGTCAAAGGAACATGAGTGTTTTAAAGTTTTAAGGCTATTATGGTTTCAGATTAGTTGGCTCCTAACAAAAATTAAGCCACGTTTTGATGCTTTCTATCCATATTAAGAAGTACTTTGGAAGTAAAGTATATTTTATGATTGGATACGTTCTGAAATGCATTTTTGTTTCTCTTTACAGATGCATTTTGTTCAGGACAAAATCTTTGTAGGTCTCGAGCATGCTCCTCCGAATTTCAATGCAAAAGAAAAAGTGGAAGGTCCAGGAGGGTCTTTCCTGCACCATATTCAAAATGAAACCGGAGCCAAAGTTCACCTCCGAGGTAAAGGGTCAGGGTTCATTGAACCAATGTCTGGAAGGGAGGCGTTCGAACCTATGTATATTTATATCACGTAAGTCAATTTTTTTTCACTTAAATAAATTTATAGAATAGAAAAATGGCTAGTGGTGGTAACATCTGAGGAAAAATACTTTGCAATTTATCAGTGATGTTGTACAGCAGCCTAATTTTACTGGCAGAATAATATCCAAGTATTACAGAATGTTGAAGGCATGTTAATCCCAATAATACTTATATCACTGACATGAATATAGATTAGCTATAAATTTCTGCAGAGATCTTGAGGCTTCTTGCTGGAAAAACTAGTAGGAAATCAGCAGAATTCCCAGGAAATTGTAATGAATAACTATCCCCACCACTTTCTACACTCCTTTTACAACAAGACACTATTAGGTTAGATTGGCGGTGTCTTCATGTTACTCCTAAACCTGGGGTTTAAATCTGGAAAATTCCTGATTTATTTCCTCATTGTAACTTCACACATATTTGTCCTAGGCCAAACCATTTTCAGCTGCTTCATCAAGGACCCTCCCTCCAGTAAAAGGTCAGAAGCAGAGATGTTCACTGATGATGACACACTATTCAGCGCTATTTACGACTCCTGAGATATTGTATAAGTGAGTGTCTAAATGAAGCAAGACCTGGCCCACACCTAGACTTAAGCTGATGAGGGGCAGGTAACATTCATGCCAGCTAAAGTACAGACAATGACTGTCTCCAGCAAAAGAGAACCTAACTATTGCTCATTTATGTTCACTGGCACTACTGTTAGTGAAACCCCCACTATCAACACCCTGAAGATTACCAGAAAGTAAACGGGACCAGCCATACAAGTAATGTGGTTACACCAGCAGGTCAGAGGTTATAGATTCTACAGCGGGTTGCTTCCTGTCTACCATCTGTAAGGCTCAAGTCAGGACTGGGGGAGGCAATGGCCTAGTGGTATTATCTTTAGACTATTAATCCAGAAATTCAGCTAATGTTCTGAGGACTCTGGTTCGAATCCTACCATGGCAGATGGTGGGATTTGAATTCAATAATAAAAAAAAACCTGAATTAAGAATCTACTCACGACATGAAGCCATTGTCGATTGTCGGAAAAACCCATCTGGCTTACTAATGTCCTTCAGGGAAGGGAATCTGCAACCCTCATGTGGTTTGGCCTACCTGTGGTTCCAGACCAATAGCAATGTGGTTGACCCTGAACTGGCCCAGCAAGCCACTCAGTTGTATCAATGGCTACGATGTCTCAATCAACAAAGAAATGAAACTAGATGGAACACCTGGCATTGGCCTAGGCACTGGAAAAGGCATTGACAGAAACAGCTCTGTCAACCCTGCAAAGCCCTCCTACGTACATCTCGGGGCTCAAGCAACAGCCTGACATTGTCTGGCAGGACAGACCCAGCAGAAGTTGTGGCACTGTGTTCTTTAATGAAGGAAATCTGTTGTCCGTAACTGGTCTAGCCTACGTGTGACTCCATTTCCACAGCAATGTGGTTGACTCTTAACTATCCTCTGGGCAATTAGGGATGGGCAATAAATGCTGGCCTAGCCAGAGATGCCTACATCCCATGAGTGAATTAAAATAAAACTATCTACAAGATGCACTGCAGAAATTCGCTCAAGATCCTTAGACAGCACCTTCCAAGCCCATGACCACTTCCATTTAGAAGGACATTTGCAGCAGGTACATGGGAACACTTGCAAGTTTCTCTCCAAGCCGCTCAGCATTCTGACTTGGAAATATATTGCTGTTCCTTTAGTGTTGCTGGGTCAGAATCCTGGCATTCCCTCCCTCAGGGTATTGTGGGTCAACCCATAGCATGTAGTCTGCAGTGCTTCAAGAAGAAGCTCATCACCACCTTCTTAAAAATAACCAGGGACAGCCAATAAATGCTGGCCGGCTAGTGCTACCCATGTCCCACAAGTGAATTAACGAAAGAAGAAGAACCGTGACCAAGCTGCCTGATTGGTTGACAAACCATTGATCATCTTCAGCATTCACTCTCTTCACCACCTAAGTTGCACGGTGCATAGTTTGTACTGTCTACAAGGTGCACTGCAGTAACTCACCAAAGCTCCATTGACAGTATTTCCTGAACTTAGTACCTTTCCCACCTAGAAAGACAGAGACAGCAAGTACATGGGTGCACCACCAGGTTTGGTTTAGATGTCTTTTAGTGCTATTTTGCAAAGCCCAGGTCTCAACATCTGAGTTGGAACCATATTGCTCTTCCTTTGCTGTTAGTGGGTCAACAACTTTCTATCTGACATCACTGCGGGTGTTCCTGAAATTCAAGAATTGCAGGAAAGCACCATTGGTGGGGGAGGCGATGGCCTGATGGTATTATCGCTGGACTGTTAATCCAGAGACCCTAATAATGTTCTGGGGACCTGGGTTTGAATCCCACCACTGCAGATGGTGGAATTTGAATTCAAATAGAAAAAAATCTGGAATTAAGAATCCAATGATGACCATGAATCCATTGTCGATTGTTGGAAAAACCCATCTGGTTCACTAATGTCCTATAGGGAAGGAAACTGCCATCCTTACCTGGTCTGGCCTACACGTGACTCCAGACCCACAGCAATGTGGTTGACTCTGAACTGCCCCCTGGGCAATTAGGGATTGGCAATAAATGCTGCCTAATCAGCGATGCCCTCATCCCATTAATAAATATAAAAACCCCAGCTCACTACGACCTTCTCGAAGGCGATAAGAAATTAATAAATGCTGGCCTAGTCAGTGTTGCTTTGTCCTTTCGCTGAGAGGTTGATTTGTTTGCTCATTTAGCTGGATGTAAAAGATTACCAAACCCATTTAATAAAAAGTAAGCAGTCTTCTATGTGGTGTGGCCAGCATTTATGCTACATTTAATGCCACCTAATTGGCATTTATCTCATTGACTTTTTTGTTTTTGATCTGTCATGAAATGTGGATATAGCTGGCAAGGCTAGCATTTGTTCCCCATGTCTAACTGTTGTTGAACTGAGTGGCTTGCTAGGCCATTTCAGAGGGCAGTTAAAAGTCAACCATATTGCTGTGGTTCTGGAGTCAAATTTGGAAGCCAGACCAGGTAAAGACAGCGGATTTCCTTCCCCTCAAGGACATTGGTGAAGCTGATGAGATCTTACAGCAATCAGTGATCGTTTAATGGTAGCCATTTACTAAGACTAGTGTTTTAATTCTGGATTTATTAAGTGAATTTTAAATCATATCACCTGTCCTAATGGGGTTTGAATTGTGTTATATTGTGCTGTAGCTGCCAGGTTTCCATACTGAAATTGTAAACTCAAACTTCAGGAAAATTAATGTTCAATATCCTTGATATATGTTACTCTATATGTAGCCGTTTTTGTTTTTATTTTTGCAGTCATCCTAAACCAGAAGGTTTGGCGTCAGCAAAAACACTTTGTGAAAACTTGCTTCAGACAGTGAGTATACCTTGTTATTTTTAGAACCAAAATAAGAAAAGCGACCTGAGTGACTTTGGAACTCTGCATCAGAACGCAGTCAAAACGTGGCCATTAAATATTTTCAAGGCAGAGGTAGATAGATTCTTGTCAGGCAAGGAAATCAAAGGATATTTGGGATTGATGGGACTCTGGAATTTGGAACACAAACAGCTCATCTGTGATCTCGTTGAATGCTGGAGCACGCTTGCGGGACTGAATGGTCCATTTGTCCTAATTTGTATCTTTATATGTATCTGGTCATCAGATTGACGATGACATACTGAAGTTTAACTTTATTGCAAAAGAAATAGTTAAGAACCTCTCCAGTAAATCTGTTGGTTGTATTTTGTTATTGGCTGATAACACCATTGATACAAAAATAGGTGATTCCTTTTGTGGTGAAAAGGACATGAGGTTGCAGAAGGATACATGTTGAGTAAGTGGACAGAAATCAGGTATGTGGAGTTTACTGTGGGGGTATGTGATGTTTACTTTGGCAGGAGTTGTTAAATGGGGAACAACTGCAGAGTTCTAAGTTGTAAAGGGATCATTGTGTTTGAGTGTATGAGTCACAAAAATTAGTATTCAGATACAGTAAGAAAGAAAGGTCATAGAATGCTATATGTTATGAAAGGAATTATACATAAAGCAAGAATGTTATGCTTCAGTAATGGCAGCTATTGATGCAGTCACATCGCAAATGTTGTGTGCAGTTTTGGTCTCCTTATTTAAGGAAGGATGTAAATAAGTTGAGCTAGTTCAGAGGAGGATTACTAGATTGATATCTGGAATAAGCAATTGTCATATGAAGAAAAGTTGGACTGGCTGGGGTTTGTTTTCATGGGCGTTTAGAAGAGTGAAGGGTGACTTGTTTGAAATATAAGATCAAGAATAGTCTTGCCAAGGTGGACAAAGACATTGTTTTCTCTTAAGGGTGAGTCCAGAATTTGAGGCACTATTTTAAATTAGTGGTTGCTCTTTTAGGACACATGAGAAATGTTTTCTCTGAGCGGATTGGGAGACTTTGGGACCCTTTGCCTTTGTAAGCATACAACAGCTACGTCAGTTATTTCACTGATAATGGCAACCGAGTTGATCATACTTGAGCTGGAAGAATTTAATGAAGGCATTATTTTTATAGACAAGAAATAATGCTGAGATAGAGTCATTGAGTCATACAGCACAGAAATAGACCCTTTGGTCCAATCAGTCCATGCCAAACATAATCCCAAACTAAACTAGTCCCACATAACCAAGTGCAGAGCTGGATGAACACAGCAGGCCAAACAGCATCAGAGGAGCAGGAAGGCTGATGTTTCGGGCCTAGACCCTTCTTCAGAAATGGGGGAGGGGAACGGGGTTCTGAAATAAATAGGGAGAGAGGGAGAGGCGGATAGAAGATAGGTGGAGAGAAGACAGACAGGTCAAAGAGGCGGGGATGGAGCCAGTAAAGGTGAGTGTGGGTGGGGAGTTAGGGAGGAGATAGGTCAGTCCAGGGAGGATGGACAGGTCAAAGGGGCGGGATGAGGTTAGTAGGTAGGAGATGGGGGTGGGGCTTGAGGTGGGAGGAGGGGATAGGTGGGAGGAAGGACAGGTTAGGGAGGCGGGGACAAGCTGGGCTGGTTTTGGGATGCGGTAGGGGGAGGGGAGATTTTGAAGCATGTGAAGTCCACATTGATACCATTGGGCTGCAGGGTTCCCAAGCGAAATATGAGGTGCTGTTCCTGCAACCTTCGGGTGGCATCGTTATGGCACTGCAGGAGGCCCAGGATGGACATGTCGTCTGAGGAATGGGAGGGGGAGTTGAAATGGTTGGCGACTGGGAGGTGCAGTTGTTTATTGCGAACCGAGCATAGGTGTTCTGCAAAGCGGTCCCCGAGTCTCCACTTGGTTTCCCCGACGTAGAGGAGGCCACAACGGGTACATCGGATACAGTATACCACATTAGCAGATGTGCATGTGAACATCTGCTTGATGTGGAAAGTCTTCTTGGGGCCTGGGATGGGGTGAGGGGGGAGGTGTAGGGGCAGGTGTAGCACTTCCTGCGGTTGCAGGGAAAAGTGCCAGGTGTGGTGGGGCTAGAGGGGAGTGTGGAGTGGACAAGGGAGTCACAGAGAGAGTGGTCCATCTGGAAGGCAGAAAACGGTGGGGAGGGAAAAATGTCTTTGGTGGTGGGGTTGGATTGCAGATGGCGGAAGTGTCGGAGGATGATGCGTTGGATCCGGAGGTTGATGGGGTGGTACGTGAGGACGAGGGGGATTCTGTTTTGGTTGTTATTACAGGGAGGGGGTGTGAGGGATGAGTTGCGGGAAATGCGGGAGATACGGTCGAGGGCGTTCTCGACCACTGAGGCGGGGAAGTTGCGGTCCTTGAAAAACGAGGACATCTGAGATGTTTGGGAGTGGAATGCCTCATCCTGGGAGCAGATGCGGCGGAGGCGAAGGAATTGGGAATAGGGTATGGCATTTTTGCAGGAAGGTGGGTGGGAGGAGGTGTATTCTAGGTAACTGTGGGAGTCGGTGGGCTTGAAATGGATATCGGTTTCCAGGTGGTTGCCAGAGATGGAAACAAAGAGGTCCAGGAACGAGAGACAGGTATCAGAGATGGTCCAGGTGAACTTAAGGTTGGGCTGGAAGGTGTTGGTGAAGTGGATGAACTATTCGAGCTCCTCGTGGGAGCATGAGGCGGCGCCGATACAGTCATCAATGTAACGGAGGAAGAGGTGGGGTTTAGGGCCAGTGTAGCTACGGAAGAGGGATTGTTCCACGTAACCTACAAAGAGGCAGGCATAGCTTGGGCTCATGCGGATACCCATGGCCATCCCCTTTGTCTGTAGGAAGTGGGAGGAATTGAAGGAGAATTTGTTAAGGGTTAGGTTGGGGTGGAAGGTGTTGTCCAGGTGAACTTAAGGTTGGGTTGGACATCAAAGTTTATTTTTCTGCATTCTCTAGATTCCATTTCTTTCTCCACAGTAAAAACTGATGCAAAATATTTATTTAGTATATCTCCCAACTCCTGTGGTTTAACACAAAGACGACCTGCTTGATCTTTGAGGCCCAACCCCCTCTCTAGTTACCCTCTCGCTCTTAATGTATTTGTAGAATCTCTAGATTATCCTTAACTTTATCTGCTAATGCTATCTCATATCCCCTCTTTGCCTTCCTGATTTCTCTCTAAAGAATGCCCCCTACACTTTTTATATTGATTAAGAGATTCAAGTTGTCTGTCTTAAAAAACATTATCTTTTCTTTCTTGACTAGAACCTCAATATCTTTATTCATCCATTATTCTTTAATCTTACCAGCCTTACGCCTCGCTGTATTGGGAACAAAATGCCTCTGAATTTTCGTCATCACACTCTTGGATGCCTCCCACTTATCAAATGTCCTTTTACCTGCGACCAGTCTAATCCAATCAACTTCTGAAAGTTCTTGCCTTATACCATTAAAATTTACATTACTCCAAATAAAATTTTTTAAGTTTTATGGAAGACTTATCCTTTTCCGTAGCCAATTTGAAACTAATAGAATTATGTTTGCTAGGCCAAAATGGTCCCCCACTTTTACTTCAGTCATCTGCCCTGCCTTATTATCGAAAAGAAGGTCTAGTTTTGCTTCTTTTCTAGTAGGAGCATCCACATATTGATAAAGAAAATTTTCTTGAGCACATCTGACAAATTCTTCACCATCCACATCTTTAACACTATGGTAATCCCAGTCAATGTTTAGAAAATTAAAATCCCCCATTATTACAACCTTATTATGCTTTCATACATCTGAGATCTCCGCACATATTTGTTTCTCAATTTCTCACTTACAGTGGGGCTGGGGAACCTATAGTACAATCCCATCAAAGTAATCCTTCTTAGTTATAATTTCTACCCATATGTTTTCACAGGACGATCTTTCAGAAATGTGTTGCCGAGTTACAGCAGTAATGTATTCCTTAGTCAAAAACGGCAACCACTTTAACACCACCAACGCTCCCCCCGCCCCAGCCGGGGCGGCCTCCTCTACCTTTCCTATAGCATCTAAAACAGAGAACATTGAGCTGTCAGTCTTGCCCATCTCTCATCCAAGTTTCTCTAATAGCTATGACATCCCAATCCCATGTTATTAAACATGCCCTGAGTTAATCAGCCTTACCTCTAGGACCCCTTGCATTGAAATAAATGCAATTTAGTTCTTCAGAGTTACTTCATACTCTGACTTTCTCTTGTCTGTCTTTCCTAATTGACGTGCTCTCCTCACATTCAGAACTTACTCCATCAATCTTTCCATTTACACTGCTACTTGGAATTCCTCCACTTGCCATCTCTATCTGTATAAAGCCTCTCTTAATAGAATGAGCAAATCTCTCTGCTAAGATATTGGTCCCTTTCCAGTTTAAGTTAGACCCATCCTTTTTGAAAAGGTCCTTTCTATCCCCAAAGACATTCCAATTATCCAAAAACCTGAATCCCTGAACAATACACCAGCTCAGAAGTCATTGATTTATCTCCTTTAGCCTTTTGTTCATTCCCTCATTTGAGTTTGGCATTGGGAGTAAACTAGAAATTACTACTATTATGGTTTTACTTCTTAATTTTCTACCTAACCACTTAAATTCACTCTGTACTGCTTTAATCTTTTCCCTAAAAATGTCATTCCTATTGATGTGTGCAATAATTTCTGGCTTCTCAATCTCATCTTTAACAATATGCTTGAAACATTTAGAAACTTCCTTAATCATAGCACCAGGTAAGCAACAAACCATCCTAAATTTACACTCACTGCCGTAGAATTGCCTGTGCCTCTGACTGGAGAGTCCCCTATAATCTTGTCAAACACTGCCTAACATAAGAATCGTTCCAAGTTTCCAATAACTGACTGGCCCTTCCATTTTCCTTGGAGAGACTATCCCCTTCAACTGATCCAAAAACTGAATATCTACTTGATAGAGGAATAGCCACCAGGGACTTATGAATTACCTTCTTACCTTTCCTGACAGTCACCCATCTATCTGGTTGATCCTGCTGGGTAATAACTTTTCTAAATCTACTAACCATGTCACTCTGTACTTAAAAAATGACCTTAATAACATAAAACCTAAAAAATAGGATGTTTTAATCACACCTTATACAAAATAAACTACCTTTCATTACTGACAGAATATAATGTTAAAATGGAAAAAATTTAAAATATATATATATATATATATATATCAAACATACAAAAATTAAATAAAATCAACCACTTAGCTGATTAACTGAATAAAAATGATTCCTCTTCAATAAATTCCTCAATGGGAACAAAGACCTTCTCTGGAGCTGACCACATGTCAGACTCTCTGGAACGAAAGTGCAACTCCTTGTTTAAAAAAAAACTGATCGTTTTTTTTCAAAAGAAGACCTTTGCAATGTAAAAAAAAATCTCTAAAACATGTAGACTTTTTTAATTTCTGAATTAAGAATAAAAAAAACTCAGCCACTCACCATAGACCCTTAAAAAGACCGTTTCAAAAGAAGTCTGTTTGGGAAAAAAAGGTCAGTTTTTTTGGTTTGGTTTTTTTGGAATGTTAATAAAACAAAATGGAAAATATCTTGTATTAGTAAACTATAATGACTATCATAACTGTAAAACTGTTTTAAAAAAAAAACTATAATAAATCTTTAACTAAGCCTGCAATCGCAGGAGCTGCTGCAAGATCCACGCTGCTCACTGCCACTGTTGATATAATCCTGTGTTAAAAATAGGTTATACTCTATTTGGTAGGGTTTGCAATACATAATACATAATTCAGAGGATAAGATGTACATTCTGACGTTAAGTCCATCTGTTAGTTTGCAAACTGGAATAATTGTGTAATGTTCATTTGTGAATACTCTTTCTTTCTCTTCAAGGTACATGCAGAATATTCTAGATACCAAAGCCAGATTACATCAGGACTGGGTCCACCATCAGGTATTCTTGTGGGACTGATGCAAACATTCAAAAACATAAATGCTCAAGAAAGTTGTTTTACTTGTTGCTACCATTTAACTTAGAAGATTGTAGGGCTGCGGGAGATTGTAGAGGTAGGAATTTGTGAGGCCATGGAAAGATTTCAGAACAGGATGACAGCTGTAAGATCAAGAAGCTGCTTGACTAGAAACCAGTGTAGGGGCACAAGTTTAGGAGGACTGGGTGAAAATGACTTTATAAGCTGTTGGACAAGACAGCAGAGTTGTAAGTGACTTCAGTTTTATAGAGGGTCCAATATGGGAGACCATCCAGAAGTGTATAGGAGTTGTCAATTCCATACTAACAAAGGCTTGAATGTGGGTTACAGCAGCCAGTTAGCTGAGATGGGGAAAATGTTGGGCAATCCTATAGAAGTGAAGAAAAGCAGTTTTAATGATGGCACAAATTTGTAGTCAGAACTTCATCTTGGGATCAGATATGACCTCATGGTTGTGAACTATCTAGTTTAGTGTCAGCTGCTAAAGAGAGGGATGCAATTCATGCAAGGAAACAAAATTTGCAGTGTAGACCACAAACCATGATTACAGTCTACCGAAATTTAATTAGAGGAAATTTCTGCTTTGCTAGATGAATTTGATAGTTTGGCTGCAGTTTAGTTACAAATAGTACTTGGTGAGAGTAGTTCATCAGCTGGATTGCGGTGGCAATTCGTTGGAGGAGGTAGGTGTGGTCAGTTTTATCAAAGGCTGTAGATAAATTGAGAATGAAGTGGAAGGATTTGTTAACTTTTATCAGATCCATGTAGGATGTCATTCATGACTTTAAGAAAAGCAATTTTGGTATAGTGACAGGGATAGAAAGTTAGTTAAAGGGACTCAACCAGGGAGTTCCAGGAAAGGTGCAAGGAGCAATGACATAGATTTAAAAGAGAATAGGACGACCCTGTAGAGAAGGAACCGACAGCAATATCGACGAATATGGGAGCCAGAGGGGAAGTTGGATGATTAATAATTTATTGGAAACTTTTTTAAAAATTCTTGGATGAGATGCTGCCTAAACCAATACTACTTGTCCATCCTTATTCCCTTGTGATTGTGGTGGTGAGCCACATTCTCAAACTGCTGTAGTCCCATTTTTTTGATGCTGCATCTATAGTGCTATTATGGAAGGCATTTCAGAATTTTTACCAATGAAAATGAATGAACAGTCTTATAGTTCCAAGTGAGGATACGAGTGTGGCCTGGAGGGGAATGTGAGGGTAGTTTGGACAATAACTTGTCCAAATTGCTGCTTGTCCTTCTAGCTGGTAAAGTTTGCGGTGGCATAGATTATAGTTGTAATAGTTGTAATGTTTTAATTTCCCTGAGACTCTGGAAGGTTCCCGGCAGATTGGAAAATCGATCAAGGATTTATTCAGTCGTCAGAAACCAGAAAATTGTAAAAAAAAACTGCGGATGCTGTAAATCAGCAGCAAAAATAGAAGTCGCTGGAAAAGCTCAGCAGGCCTGGTAGCATCTATGAAGAGAAATCGGTTAACGTTCTGGATCTGGTGACCCATCCTCAGAACTGGCCAGTTCTGAGGAAGGATCACCGGACCTGAAATGTTAACTCTGATTTCTCTTCACAGATATTGCCAGACCTGCTGAGCTTTTCCAGCAGCCTCTGTTTTTGAAAGCAGAAAATTGTAGGCAAGTTAGCTTTGATTTTTTCATATGGAATGTGAAAATCATGATTCGATCAGGCAGCGCCAACAGGCCTTTTGAAAGGAAAATTGTGTTTATCTAATTTATTAGAGATGTTTTTCAGATGAACTAATATTTATGTTGGATAGAGTGAATCCCATAGCTGCGTGCTTCCAAAGGCATTTGATAAGGTGTCACAAGACACTTGATGTAGAAGTTAACATATTAGAACAGGTAAAGGGGTTTAGCTAGTACAAAGCAGCAGGGAGTAACTTACTTCCTGATTCCACAAAACCTGTCCACCATCTACAAGGCACAAATAAGGAGTGTGATGTAATATTCCACACTTGTTGGGATGTATGCAGCCCCAACAACACTTGAAGCCTGATGCAACCAGGACAAAGCAGCCTGCTTGATTAGCACCACATCCACGTTAACTCTGTCTACCACTGACGAACAGTAGCAGCAGTGTGCACAATTGATAGGATGTACTACAGAAATTTATTGAAGCTCTTCAGAGAGTACCTTCCAACACCATGATTACTACCATCAGAAGGTCCAGGGTAGCAGGTATATGGGAATGCCACTACATGCGCATTCCTGTCCAAGTCGTTCACTATTCTGATTTGGAAATATATTATTTGCTGAAGTATTTATGCATGTATATTACTTTGGTTGAATTCTGTGTGTGTTATGATTACAGATGTATAATCTCAAGCAGATTAATTTAAAACAAAAGTTTTCATATTGTGTCACTATGTTTAACTTTAAACTTGCTTTGAAATCTTCAATATTTTACAGTGTACTCCATGGTGACACCATCTCCAGCTATGGCTCCTGCCCAGAATCCTGTCTCTGTTTTACCTCCAGTGATGACATCACAGCCATATTCCATTCAGCCTCCGACATCTGTCCCGTACACATTTGCCAACACAAATGCACAGTATACTACACAGCAGTTCAGTCAGCCTCTTCCAACACCATATACTGCTGGGCTGCCAACAGAGATTTCTCAAAACCAAGTAGTGTCTGGGATCCTGAATCCTGGATCTCAGAACAACTTTCAGATGCCGCAGCCTATGCCAGGACCTTGTTACACACCACAGCCTTTGCAGCAAGCTGGAACAAGTTTGCAGCAGGTAAGCATAAAGGAAATTAATTGTTCGGATAATAACAGTCATTTCTAGTTCAACTTTGTATGCATTTATTTATCTAAATTATTAAAAATATGAATATTTAAACAAACAAGGAGGCATAGAAACATAGAGTGCAGTAGGCCACTCTGCTCTTTGAGCCTGCTGTGCAATTCAGTATGATCATAACTGTTCTTGCTTTCTCCCCTTATCCTTTGATCCCTTCGGTCCAAAGAACTATGTTTACGTCTGTCTTGAAAGTCTTTATTGTTTTGACCTCAACAGTTATCTGTGGCAGAAAATTCCACTGGCTCACCACTCTTTGGGTGAAAATGTTACTTTTAAGGCCCCTCTTTCTTGACTCTGTGGTTATTGAGAACATCTTTGCTGCACCTACCCTGCTTGATCCTCTTAGAGTGTTACAGGTTTCAATGAAATCCCCCCTCATTCTTTGAAACTCCAGTGAATGTAGTCCTAACTGATCCAATGTCTCCCGGTATGTTAGACCTGCCATCCCAAGAATCAGTCTGTTAAACCTTCTTTGCACTCCCTAATAGCCAGAACATCTTGCCCCTGATAAGGAGACCAAAACTACATTCAATACTCCAGGTGTGGACATTCCTGCTCTTGTAATCAAAATCCTGGCTATGAATGTTAACTTACCATTAGTTGCCTTCACCGCCTGCTGCACCTGCATGCTTACCTTCAGTGAGTGGTGCATTAGGGCACCCAGGTCTCCCTTGCACCACCCCGTCCCCAATTTATTGTAATTCTAATCCGCCTGCCTGTTTTTGCTACCAAAGTGGATAACATCACATTTATTCACATTATACTGCATCTGCCATGTTTTCTCGCATAACTTGTCCAAATTGAAGCTTCTCTGCATCCTCCTCACAGCATATTCTCCCAGCTTTGTGATATCTTCACACTTGAAGATCTGTCACATCGTTTCCTCATCTAAACCATTACAATATACTGTCAATAGTTGGGGTTCAAGCACTGATCCCTGCAGTACCCTACTAGTCACTGCTTGCCACTCGGCAAAAAAACCAGTTTATTCCTAAAATAAACACAAAAGATTTGCAGATACTGGAAATCTGGAACAAAAATGAGTGTGCTGGAGATATGCAGCAGGTGTGGCAAAATCTGTTGAGGGAAAAAGAGTTAATATTTCAAGTTCAGTGACCTTTCATCAGAAATGTTCAAGATCAAGCTTGGGTTATCTGATGTAATATCTCCTGTATGACTTGTTGATTTTTGTATTCTTTTGTGGCATATTGGGATCCTTGGCAAGGTTAGCATTTTTCTCTCATCTTTAATTATGCAGAACTGAGTCGCTTGCCAAGGCATTTAATTCACCCACATTGTTGTGAATCTGATGTCTCAAGTAGACCAGATCAGGTAGGGACATCAGATTTCCATCCTGATTAAACATCAATAAACCAGAGGTTTTTTTTTTAACAACCATTTTGTGGTCACCACTACTAAAACTAGCTTTCAAATCCCATTTCTGAAGAAGGGTCCCAACCCGAAACATCAATTTTCCAGCTCCTCTGATGCTGCCTGGCCCGCTGTGCTCCTCCAGCTCCACACTGCGTTATTTCAAATTCCATACTTTTTTAATAGACAGACTGTTTAGATGGACAGATCAATGACAGATGAAATTTAACCCCGATAGGCATGACGTGATGCACTTTGGAAGAAGTAACAAGAAAAGGGAGTACTGAATGATTGGCAAGACACTTGGAAGATCAGAAGAACAGAAGGATCTCGGGTTGCTTGTCTTCTGGTCCCTAAAGGCAGCAGGATAGATTAATAGGGTAGTTAAGGAGGCATATGGCCACTTGCCTTTATCAGTTGTGGTATTTATTACAAGAGCAGGGAAGTCAGGTTGGAGTGTACAAAACTTCAGTTAGGCCGTAGATGAAGTTCTGTGTGAAATTCTGATCACTACACTATAGGAAGAATGTGATTGCATTGGAGAGGATGCAAACAAGATTCACTAGGATGTTGCCCGGGATGGAGCAGTTTAGCTTTGAAGAGCATCTGGATAAACTCAGGTTGTTTTCTTTGGTGCAGAGGAGGCTGAGAGGGAATCTGATTGCATTTTTATGAGGAGCATTGAAAAGGGTGGATAGGAAGCAGTTGCTTGACCTAGTTGAAGGGTCAGTAAAAAGGAGGCATAATTTTAAAATGAAAGGCAGGAGGTTTAGAGAGGATTTGAAGAAAAACATTTTCACCCAGATGGTGGAAATCTAGAATGCACTGACTGGGAGAGTAGTTGAGGTGGGTAACATCTCAGCCTTTACAAATGCTCATCAAAGTACTTCTTAATGTCATAACATTCAAGGTTGTAGGCCAAGTGCTGAAAAGTGGGACTAGTGAAAACTTAGAGGAGTTAATTGTCAGTGCAGATTCACTGCCCGCAGGGCTTCTTCTATGCTGTGTGATTCTATGAATTGAATTCAAGCTGGTGGGATTTGAACCCATTAGCCTGGGGTTCTGGATTACTAGCTCAGTGACATTGCCAGTATGTTGCCATCTCCCTGCTTTGTTTTAGAATGCTTATGTGAAGCAAAGTGAGTAAAAACGCCATTGTCCCAAAGGACCATAGGCTGCTGTCTAATTAGAGTTAGACTGGTGGTTGTAGAACCTAAGGTTCATTTGAATTTCAAGGGGTGATGGTTAGATTCTCTCGTTGGGGGATGGTCATTGCCTGATATTTGTGTGGGATGAATGTTACTTGTCACTTTATAGCCCTAGCCCAAGCCCATCGTAGAAGTCTTGCTGCATTTGGACATGGAGTACCTTGGTGTCTGAGTCGTCACGAGTGGGCTTGGCATTGTGCAATCATCAGCGCATGTCCCATTTCTGACCTTATAACAGAACGAAGGTCATTGATGAAGCGGTTGAAGGTGGTTGGTTCTAAGAAAGTTGCCTGAGCAGAGATGTCCTGGAACTGAGATGACTGATCTCTAACAACCACAACCAACTTCCTTTGTACCAGGCATGACTCCACTCAGCAGAGAGCTTTCCCAAGTTTCCAGTGAGTGTGGTATTTCTAGGGCTTCTTGATGCCCCATTCTGTCAAATGAAGCCTTGGTGTCGAGGGTAGTTACTATCACCTCACCTCTGGATTCCAGGTCTTTAGTCTTGTAATGAATTCAAGAGCTGAGTGGCTGTAGCAGAACCCAAACTGAGTATCAGTGAGCTGCTTATTGGTAATCAAGTGTTGCTTGATAGTACTGTTGATGACTCCTTCCATCACTTCACTAATGACCACGAATAGTCTGATGTGGTAATGGGTTGGTTTTGTCATACTTTTTGTGTACAGGACATAACTGGACAAGTTTCCGCATCGTTGGGCAGAAGCCACTGTTGTAGCTGCACTGGAACAGCTTGGCTAGGAGTACAGCAAAATGGAGTCCAAGTCTTCAGTACCATTAGTGGAATAATATTCAGGCCCATAGCCTTTGCACTGTCCAGTGCCTCCAGCCGATTGTTCGTATCACATGAAGTATATTGATTTGGCTGATAACTGGTATCTGTAATGCTGGAGGCTTTTGGAGCAGGCCAGGATGGATCATTCACTCATGACTTCTGGCTTTTGCGAACGCATTAGCCTTATCTTTTCACTAATATGCTGGGCTGTTCCATGGTTGAAGATGGGGATGTTGGTGGAGCATCCTCCAATGAATTGTTTACCTGTCAGGTACAAGAAAAATAGACCAATGGAACATTAGCTTTATAACAAGAGGACAAGAATATAAATTCAGGGAAGTTTTGATAGATCCCCTGATTTGACTGATTCTGGAGCAGTGTGTACAGTTCTGGACATGGTTTTAAGATTGTTATGGCTTTGGAAGTGTAAAGCAAATTCAACAGAATATTGCCCAGAAATGCAAGTTACGTGAATTGTGCTTGTATTTTCTGAAATATGGATAAGTCAGCATTAACTTGTATGAGGTTTTTAGAATTTTGGTAGTAATTGGTGGGGTAGTTAGAAAATATTCCTGCTGATAGAAGTGTGGAACAAAGGAACATAACTTTAAAATGAGAGCTAGGCCATTGAAGAATAATACATCAAGTAATACATCATGCAAATATGGTAGAAATATAGAATTGCTCAGTGTTAGCATGATTTGATATCAAAGATTGCTTGAGGTTTTGGTAGATGAGATAGACCAGGGTGGATGAATGGAATTAAGGTACAGATGAGCCATGATGTAATTGAAAGGCGGGGCAGGCTTGTGGGGCTTAAAGATCTAATCCTGTTCCAATTAAATGCAATGGAGATCAATGCTGCTATTGTACATTAAATTTTATCTGCTACTTTGTAGCTAATTGTTTTAATTTTAGCAGTGTTGTTTTGTAGCTTTCGTCATTCCTGTAAGGAATCAGCTGCATCATAATTTGGCATCATCTGCAAATTTCAACACTGCTACATGTATCCAAGTCGTTAATATTAATTTCCAGATGCAGACTCGGGAATAAGGTCTATGGGGCATCTGTACTCACTTTGAATCCCATCTTAAACTTAACCAGTTTTTAACTTTTTGCTTCCCACCCCATCCAACTACACCTGGCTAACACCCTATTATCCTTGCACTTTTTAAAAACATACAAGTTCTCAATTATCCATCGCTTTGAAATCTGTGTTTAGTCCGTAGGTGTGGTCATAATATCACTGAGCTAATAATCCAGAGGTCCAGGCTAATGCTGTGGGATCATGGGCTCAAATCTGACCATTGCAGCTGATAGAATTGAAATTCAATTAATGGAATCTAAAATAGAAAACTCTTCTTCATATAATAGTGACTGTCAAACCATCATCTATTGTTGTAAAAGCCTATATGATTCACTAATGTCCTTTGGGAAGGAAATCTGCCATCGTTATCTGATCTGGCCTGCAGATGACTCCAGACAGATCTTAACTACACTCTGAAATGGCTCAGTAAATCATTAAGTTCATATGCAATTGGGAATGGGTAACCTGTACTAGGTTG